GATAATGGACTAAGTCTCTTAACTGTAAGCAAGACCCTAATAATTAAATGCTTCCTTTTATAAGAGTCACCTTGGTCATGGTATTTATTCACAGCAATAGGACACTGAGACATTACCTAACATGCTTCCAGGCTCTACACACCTCCATGTTCTTACTGTTAATTTTTTTTCCTCATTCTTTGTCCAAGTCAAAGGTTAAAACAGTGCTTAAGGCATCTTTGGGATGGAGGGGCCCTAATAGCTGCATATTATTGTTTTAATTTTTTAAATTACTTTCTGATCAGAACTTTGGCTCTGCCTGTAAGTATATTCTGTACATCATCCCCAAGTGAAATTGGAATGTCCCTTTAAAGTACTGTTTTTGTTAAATGTCTCGGTTTTTACAAGATTGCTACCCCAGATTACTTTGTTTTTGATAGAATGGCTGCTTTCTAAGTTCCAACCAGAGACTTAAAAACTCATGAACCCAAATGGTTGTGCCAAAGCTCAGCTTTTATTTAAAAAAAAAAATCAGCTAAGTAAAAACTCCTTGCAGTAGAGGACTGTCTCAAAGAGAACCTGCTCATCTGTCCCCTTAGATAAGTTGTTCTCAGAGATAGAGAAGCTGGAAGCTGGCTCAGGACAGCACCTGCTGCCTTGCAGAGAGAGCTGGAGCTTTTGGCTCCCAGCACCGCCCTTAGTGGGCGCTCACCTGTAACTGCAGCTTCAAGGACTCAGACACCCTCCTCTGTTTCCAGGGGAACCTGCACACACATGCTGCACATAGAGACATTCAGACACATCAAACAAAAATAATTTTAAAATGTATGTAGACATTAATTTGCTTCCATCACTTTGACAGACACCATAGCCAGTTTACTTCCAAGAAAAACTGACTTGGCAGTGACTTTTGTTAAGAGTAACTAATGTTCCCTGTGTGGCATGTTGCCCTGTTTTGTAACTTGGCACGCAGTCTTAAGAATGAAGAGGAGATAAAGTCAAGGAGCCCAGGGATCCTGCTTATGCCATGGATCATGGACCTGCCCTTCAGAACACAGGTAGGGTCTATGCCAGTTAGAGCAGAGCAGCAACTACCTCATAGTGTAGGAAGACAGTTAAAGAGAGGAACTTTAAAATGATACAGAATTTAGGCTGAGCAGTGGTGTCATACACCTTCAGTCCCAGCACTCAGGAGGCAGAGGGAGGTGATCTCTGCAGTCAAGGTCAGCCTGTTCTACTAAGTGAGTTCCAGTACACCCAGGGCTACACAGCAAAACCCTGTTTTGATTGTTTGTTTGTTTTGTTTTTAAAAGACAATTTAATGTTTAAATTAAATGCATAAATGTGCATTCTTTGTCCAGTGTAGAATGAACATTTATTCCTACAGCTTAAGTGTTCTGGTTAAAACTATACTTTATCTACATGAATCACATAAGTAAAGTCAGAATAGATTTGCTACTATTCCTAGTTGTGTTCTCTTTCATGAAAGGAGATTATAATAACAACCAGGAAACAATCTGCCAGTAAAATCCTATATTTAATTTTAATTGTATGTACTTACTTAATCCACACCTTACAGTTTCATTAGCAACTTATATCTGGTGTTTTCAAATTATCCACTTTACTATTACAAATACATGACTCATTGGTTTATGTAAAATGTAATTGTGTTGGACAGACTCCACGGCGCTCCCCAGCAGTGCCTGCCTCTCAGCATCACTCCTTCCCCAGATTATAGGCAAAACCTAAGACTTTTCAGACAGTAGCATTCGGGTAGGTGGAGGGATATTGGCCCACAGTTGCCTTATATGTCACAAACTGTCATGTTAGCAGGGAGTCAGGAGACCACAAGTGCCAGCTTGAAGAAAATGAGACTTAAGTTTTTACTCTAATAGATTTGCTGTGTGCCATTCAGTAATGAGGTGGGAAGGTGCTGATTCCATTCAGAAACCTTGTTCTGGTGCCGATCCTGACAGCACCTGGCAGTTGCAGGCAGCAGAGGGATGCTGGACACTATAGGGAAGTCCAGCTTGAAGCAAGGGTGTTCTTACATACGGCTGTCCTGAGAGGTGGCCTTCCCTGATCACACATGCTGAGGGCCTTGGCCTTGAGGTTGTCTGTGATGTACACTGCTGTGCATTGGGCTTGAATTCCAGCTCGACAACCAAATAAACTTACTGAGCCATGAACTCGGGGATAAAAGCGTCCTTCTGCATGGGCTCAGAGTCAGCAGCAAACTGATGCTGTTTGAAGCATAGTAAAGCACTCACAAAGAGCACATTGAATGCCAGGAGGAGGGTCTAAGACCTGAAGACTGAGGAAGAGGCCTTGGCAGGAAACTGAGCAGCCACAGAGCCAGGAACTTGTGCTGTAGGATCTCAAGTATGTTGAATGTCACAGAGAAGTTGGGCTTCAGAAACATACTTCAGTCAGGCAAGGCAGTCTTGAACATAGATAAGTTGCATTTTATCCTGTTTACTTACTTGTAACTTTTAATTAGTAATTGTTAAGTATTACACTTGTTAAAAGTGTATGTGTGTGCATACACACACAACACAAACCTTATGTGCTTCTTTGATCTTGTGTAGGAATCATTAACTGTATCCTGGGTAAGCTTTTTTTTTTTTTTTTGGTAGCATCTAAACATAAGTGGTTTTTCAGTCGGGATGCATTTTTATTGTATTTTATTTTTGTTAATATTTGATTTGTCCACAAATGAAAATGTACAGCCAAGTGTGGTGGCTTTCACCTTTAATTCCAGCACTTGGGAGGCAGAGGTAGGTGGATCTCTGTGAGTTCAAGGCCAGGGTAATCTGCATAGTGAGTTCCAGGACAGTCAGCTACACAGTGAGAACCCATCTCAAAAAAAAAAAAAAAAAAAAAAAAAAATCAAAACAAAAACTTACCATTTACCATTTGGCTCACTGTTGATGAGCAGTTGAGTGGCAGCAACTGTCTTTACATTGTTGTCCACCTCCAGAGCACTTTACATTTTCCTACCTGAAGCTCTTTGCCCATAAGCAGCCTGCCCACAGCCATCCTACTGGCTCTTGGCAGCACTACTCTGCATGAGATGAACTATGTCTTGTGAGTCGTAGTCGTGTAGTTGTTGGTCTTCCGTAACCAGTTTGTTTCATTTACTATAATCACCTCAAGGCTCATCCATGCCTCGTGTTGGGCTTCCCAACTGCATTATCACATTTTATTTGTACACTCATCTGAACCCTCGCTTTCAGTTCTCTCAGGTGTGTAGTCTATACATTATATGGTGATTCTTTTTAAATTCCTTTAGGACTATATCATTCCCCATAGTACCGTCTCATCTGACACAGCCTATAGCAGCCAAAGGGGTCTGTGCTCTGTTCTGTCTGGTCCTGTTCTATAGGACACATCAGTCATCCCAATGACTGTCAGGTATCCTCACTGTAGACTTGAGTTTTATTCCCCTAATGACTAATTATGTTGAGCATTTTTCATGATCTCTTAGGCTGTTAATAGATCATTAGAGAAACATCGCTTGTGGTTACACTAATTTTAGATTTTATTCTGACAAAACATGTCTTCACAGTTTTTTTTTTTTTTTTTTTTGTTGCTGTTACCAACTCTTGCTTCTCCCATTTTCTTGAACAAATGCTTGATTTTGGTTTTGGCTCTAACATTTATGTGGCTAATATAAGAGAGAAGATACCAAATCATGCTCTTTTTAATATTTCATTATTTTTAAAATTTTTATTTATTTGTATGTGTGTGCATATGTGTCACGGTGTATATGTGGAAGTCAGAGGACAATCTGTAGGAGTATGTTCTCTCCTCCTACCACTTGGGAACTAAAAAGTGAACTAGTCATTAAGATTGACAGCAGGCACTGTCCAGCACCCACTGTAATCATGGTACTACTACCTGACAAGCCATACTTTTGAAAAACTGTCTATATAGATTTTTAAAGTTGAGGGAAAAGAAAATTTTAACATTCATATTATTTTGTTTTATTTAACCTGTTTATAGTCCTCTTTTTGGGGCTAGAGAGATATCTCAGTGGCTAAGAGCACTGGCTGCTCTTCCAGAGGGTCTGGGTTCCCAGAACCCACAAGGTGTTCACAACCATCTGTAGCTCTAGTTCCAGAGGGCCTGATGCCTTCTTATGGTCTTCATGGGCACTGTACAGTGTGGTGCACATACATGCATGCAGGCAAAACACATAATAATTTTGTTTGTTTTTGGTTTTTTCAAGACAAGGCTTTTCTGTCTAACTCTGGCTGACCTAGACTTGCTCTGTATCTGTAGACCAGGCTGGCCTCAAACTCAAAAAATAAATAAATCTTAAGAAAGAATCCTCCTTTCCCTCCTCCTCTTCCTCCTTTCCCATATTTCAAGGCAGAGTCTCACTGTGTAGCCAGGCTTATCTTGAACTCATTATCTCATTATTGCCTCAGCCTTTAAGTTCTTGGATTATGGGCATATTGCACTATGCCTGGCCATTTTATTATTATTTAATATTATTCTACAAGTATACTTAAATGTGTACTGAATCTCTCACAAAGTGTTGGGTCAGCTGAAAGAGATGGCATTAAGGAGTCACACACACACACACACACACACACACACACACACACACACACACACACTGCCCCCATGCACACCAGGGTAGCTTGTTTGTGGTGACTAGACCTTGTGAAGTGTCTCTGGTGTCACTTCTTTTCCTCTGCTTCTGGACATTCAGAGCTGTTGAAGAACATGTAGTTTCATTATGTATAACTTCACATACCAAACAGAGACCACTCCAGTTGCTCTCATCAGGGTTCTGAGAAGCCAGGTCTCTAGGTCTCTGTGATATTAGTACAGAGGGCTGAGTTGCAAGACTCATTATGCAAGGGTGAAACCGACAAAGGTCTGTGCTTAGGTTCTCTGTCAGGACCAACAGTCTTGTAAGGGAGGGATTGTTTTCAAGTGGAATTTCAGTTGGCTTGTGCTTGAGTTTTCTGTTCTTTAAACAGGAATATGTTTTATCTTTTTCTTAACAGTTGTTTCGGGAAGTACGAATAATGAAGATACTGAACCATCCCAACATAGGTATGAAATCTATACATACAATTCATGACAAAGTGCGTCCCTTCATGGAAGGGCATTTGAATGTGGACGGTTTTACTGTTGCTCAGTATAAAGAGAAGGAAAGTGAAACTCGGGGAAGATGACACTCTCTGCAATGGTGCAGCCCTGCAGGGCCCTGGCAGCTCTGCTGCTGTAGCGTCTCCTGCTTGACACCACACTGCATTACAGCTGGGGTTAACGAAACAGATTTCTATCTCCTTGTTAAATCAGAGTCCAGGTCACCTTGTATAAGGTGTAAGTAATTTCCTTGCAAAGAAGTAATAACTCTTAAGTGACTTTTTATTTTCAATTTAGAATTACTCAGTTTAGCGAGTATTCTAATATTCTTCTTAGTGTTGTCTAAGGTCTGGGGAAAGAACAACCATTTTATGCTGTCAGTTAGAGTTGAATGTAGCGAGTCTTTTTCTGTCCCATACCATCCAGCTCTGGAGTAATGACATGGAGTCTTGTAAATAATTATGAAGTCTTGGCCTATAGCTTAGGCTTGTTCCTAACTAACTCTTATAACTTAACTTATATTAATCTACATTCTATCGTGTATCTATCTACCTTTCTTCTATCTTGTGCCTCCTGTTTCCTCTCCATGTCTCCTCATGTTTCCTCTTCTTCCCAAAGTCCTCTCTGTTTCTGGAAGTTCTGCCCTAACCTCTTCCTGCCTAGCTATTGGCATTTAAGTGCTTTATTAAACCAATCAGAAGGTACCTTGGCAAAGACACATCTTCACAGTGTTAACAAGTGCTCCACAACAGCTATGTTTCTTCTTTTTTCAGTGAAACTGTTTGAAGTTATTGAAACAGAGAAGACGCTCTATTTAGTCATGGAATACGCGAGTGGGGGTAAGAGTGAGTGGGCTCAGAAACCATGTCATGTTTGATAGGACATAGGAATTGATGGTGCTTGGTGGTTCATTATAACATTTATGCCTTCATTGTTACGGTAATCTATAGTTTTATTAACATATCTTTAATTACCTCTTAGTGAAAATTTAATGTTTGCTTTCAAGTCCTGTAGAGTCTATATAAATAAAACTTTTGGCTTATTTGATAATTACTTAGGGAGTTCTAAAATCTACTTTGCTATCTTTTGAATATTTTAATTTGCTGGTTTAAATATTAAAATAACATATTTGACTTGTAGCTCAGGAAATCCTAAGTGCAAAATGTATTTAATAAAATCTATAGTGAAAGCTTGGTCTATGTCAGATTGTTTTTTTAACTGACTGCTCACATATGACAGATCTGCAATATAAATGCATTGCTAAGATAACCCATGAATGTTTGGATTTAATTAACTGTTGATCTGTATGTTCTGTAAATTTGGATTGAGTTGATGGAAAGTGGCAGAGCTCGTGTGTAATATAGAATGGAGCATATACTTTGACTATTGCAGGGTCACAAGAGGACTAACTTTTTTATTTCATGTTGATTAAATATTAAAAAATCACTTTTATCTCCTGCACTTTCCCTTAAATAAGAGACACTTGATTCAAAATATGATTCCATCCGGACTTCTTATATTATTACATTTTATGGAGTTATATTGTTGAAAAAATAAGAAAATATATTTAAAGGGTATGCTTTAAAAGTACAAAGAACTTAAGCAATTGAAAAATAAGAGTACTGGAATCATTTTATGGATTTATTATGTTTTTACTAATTGATAGGAAAACATTGCATTGAACTCCATTCATGAAGGCTGAAGGTCTGTGTGGCAATGCAGATCTTATGTGAACTGAATAAGGATTTGTTTTGTCTGTGGCATCTAGGCAACACATTTTTATATGGCTTCTCAGATTTCTAAACTTTATTTTAAATACTGAACATGTGTAATTGCTTTTAAGATGGTTTTGCAGATTAAATGTTTTAGTAAATTTTCTTTCTCCAAAATGTTTTTCTGCCCTGAAAATATTTCAGTGTAGGTTTTTAGTTTGTTTCCTGGTGTGTTCTTTATTTGTCTTTGGTGCATTGGAAACTGAGCATGGGGCCTTATGCTGGGCAAGTGCTCTGCCACAGAGCTGCATCCCGGCCTGTCAGTGTAGATTTCTGACATGCTGGAAAACCATGTAACTTTGCATAAAATGCAGATCTATTATAAAACTTGTAAATGCTACATAACAAATTGTTTTTCTGTCCTTTAGTTATATTTCCATACAATCCCTCCTGTCAGGATAGGTGCCCTGACTGTTACTTTTACTTCAGTAAAACTCATTTGTTTGTTTTTCTCTGGTGCAGTATTCTAGAATTTAGAGAAAGGGATTAGACATGCTTTGACATAAGAAATGGCAGGCCTCCCTCTGAAGGCCAGGGGTGCCTTTCTGCTTCTATGAAGGTTTGCCTCAGGCCCTGCTGCATATAGGAGCTGATTCAACTTTTGGTAACAAGTTCAGTCAACTCTCTGTGGGTGTTGAGGGAAGGGTGCTTCATCTAGGGTGGCCAGTGAGGAGTAGTGCAGAGAGATGGGTTCCATATTCGTGTGTTGGGGTGGAGCAGAGACAGACTGCCATAATTTGGTTTCCATGGCTGTGAAGAGACACTATGACCACAGCAATGCTTATAAAGGAAAGCATTAAATTGGAGCTGACCTACAGTTTCAGAGGTTTATTACATTATCATCGTAGTGGGACATGGTGCAGTGCAGGCTGACATGCTGCAGGAGATGAGAGTTCTACATCTTGATCTGCAGGCAGCAGAAGTGAGGACTAACGCACCAGTCATGGCTTGAGCATATATGAGACCTCAGAGCCCACCTCCACAGTGACACACTTCCTCCAACAAGGCCACACCTCCTAAAAGTACCACTCTCTATGGGCCAAGCATTCAAACAGAGACAGTGGGAACCATATCTATTCAAACCACCCCACAGAGAGAGAATGAAAACCTGCTTTCTTTGAATCATACAAAGCAATGACTGTTAATAAGAATAACCATGGCTCTTTGGCAGAGCATCTAAAATCTTTTTTTGACTTTTTAAATTTATTACTGGCAAGGCAAGTCAGGGAAATAAAACATTGACTTTTTCCTCTGAAATCTCCATACAGTTTCAGATTGAATGTGACATGCATACTAGGGAACATCTGGGTCAGACTGCTGCCACTTTGCCAGGTATCAGTTAGGGGACCCTGACTGACTAATGCCAGAGGGAGGATTAAAAGGCCAGGGTATTCCGCCCGCTGCTGGTCTTGTCCCGCCACAGCCACGCCAGCCCCAATTAACACACTGAGACTCTGTATTTGATAAAATGCTGTTGGCCAGTTACTTGTTTCTTATCGGCTAGCTCTGTCTTAAGTATTTCTGTTAATCTATGTATTTCCACATGGTCTCCTCTTACCGGAGAGCCAGCTGGCATCCTGCTCTCTCCAGACTCTCCATGTTGACTCCTCCTTACTCCTTCCTCGAACCCTCCTTGTCTCCTAGTCCCGCCTATCTTGCTTTCCTATTGGCCAACAGTGCTTTATTCATTAACCAGTATGAGTAACATATTTATAGAATGACATCTCCCATCAGATTCCTCTATGGTTTCTTGAATCCTGGTTAAGAGAGAGCCTGTTAAAGTAGGTGTTGGGGCTCCTCTAACACAGTATTTAGTCTTCCTTTTGTTTATACAAATACTACTTATAAATGCCTACAGGGTGATCTTCTATGTACTGAGAATATACAGGTAAACAAAGTGAGAGTCAGCCCTCCAGATAGCATTGTAATTGGTGAGGCATATCATTGGCAAATACTGTGATAGGTGGGAGATTGAGACATGCAGTATCAGGGTGTGAGCTTCCTAGGCACAATCTAAGAGGAGAGTCAGATGTGTGACATTTGAACTCTTATGTTTATCTTTCCCAGCCTAAACTCATGTGTCTAGAGTTAACACTGTAATGGGTTAACTGGAATTAACAACCATTACCCCATATCCAGAAGCACCTACCCTGATGAACCAACTAGAGCATCCATTCATTTCTTGTTCTCATCATCCCATTTATCACTTAGTCACAAAATAACCATGTTTGACATTATAGATGTGTTAGTTTCATCAATGTACATCCATTACATATTTGATTTTTAATATTTTATTTATATTCTAGGAAAATTTGTATATATGTCATATATCTGTGTGCTTAAGTACAAGTATCATTTATTGAGTACTAAATGCCACTGTGCCAAGTGCATGCATTGTTTCATGTAATCCTCACAGCAACCCAAGTAGATTCTGGTAGAAACAGAGTTGTCATGGGTTTAGAAAGTCCTGCTAATGTCCCCTACCATTAAGTACCCACTAAATATGGGATACATACTCGATGGTCAGATTCTGAAACCTGAAACTGTAGCTTGGCTATAGTATATAGTATAGTGTATAGTGTAGTATGTAGGGTATAGTATAGTATAGTGTATAGTATAGTATAGTATAATATAATATAGTATAGTATTAATACTGTGTAAGCTTTTCAGCCATCTTGTGAGTTGTAACTCTACATGTGTATCTGTCTGCAATGTGCAGCTGATAAGGACACAGAAAATAAGTTTCTCCCTTACACTGGAATAGTTCCAGATTGTAACTTAAGATTAATGTTTCTAAATTATTACAGACTAGAGAAAAAATTTTAAGTTCTATGCATAGATACATAGATTCAATAGCAAATTTCAGCACCATCTACTAACTGTTAATGAATTCCACCCGTATTTGTTGCGTGTCCACTCTGTTCTGTCATGGAGATGAAGGTGCATATCTGGTGCAGCTGTGGGTCATTTGGGGTAGCAGCATGTAGACAAGAGTGATGGGATTTTGTGTCGCTGATGGGCAGCTGCTGGGATGTATGCGGGCATGTGAATAAGCACAGTCAGCATATGTACACAGAAGAATGATGGGATTGCCACACTGTGTGGTGGGATTTAAGAGAAAGCATTGTGACTACTTTGTAGTAGAGGCCCCAACGCCAGAGCCAAATGTGACTTTGGACTTCCCTGTGGTTTCCCTTCAGTTGGATGGGTGTAAAGAGTTGACTGTATTTCATGTAATTTGTGAAGAGCATATTTTCTTGGTTATTTTTAAGAATTTCTCTTAATCATAAATTGCTACAGATTCTCAATTCTACATGCAAGTTTTTTCCTATCCCTGCATTAGTTTGTGATTTGTATAAATGTAGCAGAAAATGGTAGATCAAGTGGCTCTTGAAAAGTAAGGCCAAAACTTGGCATTGCGTATATTGTTAACCGAAATCAATGTGTATTTATTGCCTGCTTTGCCTTTCTGATTCAGGTGAAGTATTTGATTACTTAGTTGCCCACGGAAGAATGAAAGAGAAAGAGGCCCGTGCAAAATTTAGGCAGGTATGGAAAGTGGTTTTCAATTTTGTTTTGCTGATATTTTTAGTGATATGCAACGGACAATATCACAAACAATTTTGAGAGTACATGGGATTTTTCGAAAGAAAAATTCTCCTTTCTTACACTTTTTAAGAATGGAAAATTACTAGAAAAGAAACCCATTTTCCCTGGATTTCACTTGAAAATAGTAGTTGCAGATGGTTATTTTGAGATGCCCATCAACAGTAATACTTAATAAGTTAGACTCGGTGTTTACCTTTGAATCTGAAAATCTCCAACCACACAGAGAGAAAGATAGAGAAGAAACACATACCCAGTGCTTTGATGTGGTCAGAGATTGTTATCAAGTCCTGTTTGCTTTATGTGTGTATTACATGTGTGTGCTGCCTAAAGAAGTTATTATTCTCTTCCATAATTAAATATATATGTGTGTGTGTGTATATATATACACACACATATATACATATATATACACACATATATATATATATATTGGTTTTAAAATTCATTTCAGGCTGAAAGAATGTGATGAGTTTTATTTAACCGAATGTGTGAGGGAAATGCAAGTGTGGTGGGGGGCAGTGGGAGGGTGCATTTCCAGTTTAGCATCGGTATGACTTACTGCAGAAGGAAGAGAGAAGGGGACTTTTCAAACACATTGAGAATTTTACTTTTAAATTTTTCAACTGCAATACATGTACTTTTTTTTTACACAATTTATTTGGGGAAACACTTGCATATAAGAAAATTGCACACTACACTTAACTAGACTGTACGTTTATACATCTCATTGAAGTTGTATGCAGTTAGAGGTGCTGATTGGAACAGAAGCCCTGGCATCTTATTGGAGTTTTATACTTTCACTGTTGGACATTCTTTATGTACTTATCCACAACCAAAATGAAAACACCATGACAGATTTAGAACCAGAAAAGCGATTATCTTTATATTTCCTTTCAAAAGTCATGTACCACACCTGCATTCAGCCCTTCCTTGTCATCACTATTTAGCCTTTCTTGTTCTTTTTTCTTTGTATAAAGAAAAACTGTACTTGTTTGTGTATGTATGTGTGTGTATGTATGTATATATGTATATATACATATATATACAAGGTTAGATTCTGAATATTAGATTGTGTGACTCACTTAATTTTATACATTCTAAGTTCATCCATTTTACTACAGATTTTGTCAGTTTTTACATTTTTCTTTAGAGCTGAATAGTATTCCATTTTTCATACAAAACTTTCATTAACTATTCATGTGTTGTTGGATAGCTAGGCTGAAAAATATACTTTATAAATTACTATAGAAATGAATAGTGAATTGTGAATTATCCATAAAACTTACTGAAGTAAGGCTTCAGCGATGTATTATATCCTAGACTTGCCCTTAGTGAATTGATTTTTTTTTTTTTTTATTTTAAGGTAAGTTAGTTTCTCCTACATAAACATTACACTGATTCTGCATTTAAAAACATTCTGTAAGTTGGACAGCAGTGGCACACCCCTTTAATCCCAGGACTCAGGAAGCAGAGGCAGGGGGATCTCTGTGAGTTGAGAATAAGTTCCAGGACAGCCAGGGCTACACATGGAAACCCTGTCTTCAAAACCCAAAACCAAGACCAAATCATTCTGTAATCAATCTGCTGAGCAATGAAGGTTTCCATAAGGTCTTCCTCTGTAACAGCTTTTCATGGAGACTACCTCATTAAACAGAGAGACCCTCGTCAAGAGTGAACCCGCTTCACCTTTTGACCTGACCTTCCAAAGCGATTGTGTACTAGCTTTGTCTTATAAGTCTCTATTATTCGGGTAGATCCCTATAGTTACTCAGAATAGAGGTGGGGGCCTATAAGATGGTTAAGAGAAAAGGGACTTGCCACCAAGCCTGACAACCTGAGTTCAGTCCCTAAAAACCACATGGAGGGAGGGCAGAACTAACCCCTGAAAGTTGTCCTCTGACCTCAACACATACGCCATGCTTGAGAGATGTTGCATACAATCTCTAGTCTCAGGCAGTTTGTTTTCAAGACCCTCCTTGCTTCAGGGAGCTATGACTCTACTCAATAAGCTTTGCTTCCTTGGCCTTTAAAAAAACAAAACAAACAGTGCCTGTGGAAAGAACTGGTAATGAGGAATGGAATGGGACATTAAGAGCCTGGGCTGTGTTGACACACACACACACACACACACACCCAATTAACTTCTTTCCTATCCTGAGGTGGAATTTCTTGCTTTCTGGTCAAGCACTCCAGTTACCTCCCTCCTTGTTGGTCATTGTTGATAGCAAATGAAAATTCCAGTTGTTGATGTATGCTACCTTTGGGATCTTCATGTATATTTTAAAGATGACTTTCCTTTACCTGTTTCTTCTTAGCCTGCTGGTTTTATTTACTTGCTAAAATATGGCAAGTATAGAAAGTTGTACTTGGTAAAAAGGCTTTGTGTTGTAGAAGTGTGCAGTCATCCTTGTGGTGAATGGAAACAGGATAAGGTTTAGATTAAGATTCTTAGCCCTAGCCCAAAAACCAAACCAAACCAAAACAAAACAAAAATACATACTCGTGCCTATGACTTTTTCTATTAACAGTGGAAGAATGAACTACATTAACAAGGATATGTAGATTAATGCTCTTGACTCTGTTTGGTATAAAAAAAATAATAGAGTTTTAAGAAATTTTTAGCAACCATTGCCAGTACAATGCCTCTGCACTTGCTAAGCTGTGAGGTTATGCAAATACACACACACACACACACACACACACACACACACACACACATACACATACACACACACACACACACACACACACACACCATAGTATTAGGGCCAGGGAGACGGCTCATTAGTTTAGTGTGCTTCCTATTCTTCCAGGGGACCAGGTTCAATTCCTAATACCCACATGTAACTCACAACCATCTGAATCTCCAGTTCCAGGGGGTCCTATGCTCTTTTCTGACCTCTAAGCATTGTACACATGTGCCCTGCTGCAGAAATGAAGCAAAACACCTATTTACATAAAATGAAAAATCTTATTTTCAAAATTATAGTGCTGATTCCAATGTCAAGGCTACTACTTAGAGAATAAGAACCCCTGACCCACATATGTAGTTGCAAAGCTACCGCCAACAAGAAGTATGGAGCCTGAAGGGTCAGCATAGACTTGCTGGTAAATCCTGTCCTCAAAATCCACAATGGAAGGGTCATAGAGAAGTCCTTGCATTCTGCTGGTGGGATGTTCTCAGGTGGCAAAGTTGGCTACAAGTCAGTGTGATGAAACATGGTCTTATGGGCGGAGGTTCATGCGGTGAGGAGGAAGCCAGACTTTCTTTCATGTCAGGCATGGTCCCTTGCTAGGTGAGTGTGATGACACCATAAATGCCCAATATACTAGCTCAGAGCTCATTTTCTGTGGGAGAATGTGCTTCATGCAGCATTCTCTTACATTAGCTTCCATCGTTAAAGGTTTGGAGCTTAGCAAGATTCTTACTCCAGAAATGTTTATGAGCTGGTTGCATAGAGACAGTGCTGTCAGGTGTGAACTCATGGCCTCTTGTCACACTTAGTAGCCAAATCACTGTAGCACACCTTCACTGTGTGGTACAGTATGTGACCTGTAAAACATAGCTGTGTTACCAGCATGTTTCTGTCACCAAGTGTAGAGAAGGAGCCTAGCACCCTAAACACTGTTCCCTGTATAGGATGTCCAGAAAAATACACATGCAAACAGATCCTGTGAGTAGCAGACATAATGTAGTGAAAGTCGAGTGTTACAATTTTGAAGTAGGGCGCTCCAGAGTTTACAAATGTTTGTTGTTCTGTCCAGCTATGTGGAGGGACTCATACTCAATATGCTCATGGCATTGTCATCCTGCTCAGTATGGAATCCTGGAATTTTTGACAAGCTGTCTGTCAAAGCTTAATTCCATAACTCACCCTTTATCCTCACTCTCCCTTGCCAAAAAAATCTCAACTGTCCCTGTCCTTCAAGGATACCCTAAACCAAATACGCATCCTTCAAGAACCATTTCTGGTGACGCTCATTCTTTTATGACCTCTCACTTTGCACCTCTGCTTCTGTGAGTCTACCTTGTATTATAATTATAATTACTCACTTTCCCTTCTCAATGAATTGTAAGCTCCAAAGGGGAGTGCTTATATAAGTCCACTTTTGTACTCCTCCCAGGAACAAGCACATAGCAGGTACTCAATAAACTGACTTGAATCAAATGAATTTAATTGAATTATTTACTCATTGTGTTGGTGGTTTTGTTTTTTTCAGATTCATGTCTTGTTTTTGAACTGTTTTAACATACATTTGAATAACCTTCTAGCACTGAGATGCTACTTTCAATCTACTTCTGAATTCCTTTTTCCCATCATTCCTGTTAACATGTTAACACAGCCATGCTTCATACCACCTTTAGACTTTTGGAAATCTCATTCTGTCTGCATTTGTGAACAGCTAACCCACATCCATACCAGATTCCCGTTTAACTGACCCCACTGCTCTGCATTAAAATGACCATCCTTTAGGCACCACATATAATTACATATACAGGGTAGCTCCTTATCGGTTGTTAATGCCTCCTTTTAAAGAATCATCACAGAAAAGCTTGTTATCTCTCCTGCTTTTATCCCCAGAGTCCTACACACTGGCTCTGGCTGCAAAATGTATATGCAGTGCACAGTGATTTGTCTAGCTGAATTAAGGGCAAATATAAGATTAACTTGGATCTCATTTATTCATTGGGTTTTTTTGTTTGTTTGCTTTTTTGGCTGGTTTTTTTTTTTTTTGCGGGGGGCAGGGGGGAGTGTTCTCTGTGGCTTTGAAGGCTGTCCTGGAACTAGCTCTTGTAGACCAGGCTGGTCTCAAACTCACAGAGATCTGCCTGCCTCTGCCTCCCGAGTGCTGGGACTAAAGGCGTGTGCCACCACCACCTGGCTGATTGTTTTCTTTTGAGGGTTAGTTTTTCCCTATTTATATTTGAGCAGAAAATATGAGATGTTGTTAAATACTTCACTGAATAGTTCTTGATAAATTAAGGAAATATACCTTGAAGAAATGTGATGTAATTCGCAAATACACTTTGCTTTAGCTCCAGCCAGCTATCTTGAATTCTAGTTTACATGTGCCAAAGCCCTCTTTCAACATTGAAGTAAACCCTTGTTCTGAACTATAAGTTATATACTTTGACTCATGTAAACAGAGAAATTTAATGAGTATAGGGAATTTCCATGAATGTTGACCAAAAAAATTATAGTATGTTTTCCAAAAGAATATTACTTCCCTCATTTAAAACTTTATCTCTTTAATAAGCAAACTTTTGTAACTAGCCATGAAATTGCTATTATTTTAAAATCAATGTTTGTACTTTATTAAATTGAAAATGATAATTATGAAAATCAAGTATTTGAATTTCATAAAGTAATTTTTACTTTTTACCCAAATATTTTTTCAGATTGTATCTGCTGTACAGTATTGTCATCAAAAGTGCATTGTTCACCGTGATCTGAAGGTAAGTTGCTGCTTTTAAAATTAAAATCTTAATAATGAAAGTATGTAATAAGGGGGCTAAGGGGCTGGAGATGTCTTGATAAATAAGAGCACTTGTTTTGCAAGCATGAGGACCTGATTTCAAATCCCCAGCACACAATAAAAATCTGGTAGGTAGGGCTGTGCTTGCCTATAACTCTAGCATTTAGAGGTCCTGGGTTCTCACTGGCCAGCCAGCCCAGCTGAAACAGCCAATGTCAGGTTCAGTGAGTCATTTGTCTTAAGGGGATTAAGCAGAGGGTGATACCACAGGACACCGGGCGTTCTCCTCTGGCTTCCACCCATACACACACTTAACATTTGTTATAATAAATTAGGGCCACTCTCCAGCTTCCCAGGCACCGACCGGGTGGGCCGGTTTTTATAGAATTGTCACCAAAGCTTATGAGAGACAGTGTTTCACCAAGCATATGAAAACATGGACATGGCATTGTCTAATGTCAAATTAGAGGACTTGATTGACTATTAACTAGCGTATTTTAATAGACAAATTTGGAATTCTATCCTCACCTAAAAATGTTCAAGGTCCCATCAAGACAGACATAATGTCAAAGAACAAGGCATAAATGTGTTTGCCACATGTAAGAACCAGGGTTCTTTCTCTGCACCAAAGTTCAAGATGAGATTTTCAATGTGTCGGTTAGCTTTCTGTCCGCACCACGCAGACTAGTCTTCTGGGAACAGTGATCCTTGATTGAGAAAACTTCTCCATCATAGTGGCTTGGGTGGAAGCCAGTGGGGCAGTTTCTTGATGAGTGGCTCTCGTGGGAGGTCCCAGGCCACTCTGGGCAGTGCTACTCCTGGTTAGGTGGTCCAGGGTTGTATAAAGAAGACTGAGTGAGCCATGAAGAGCAGGCCAGTGGGCAGCACCCTCTGTGCCCTCTGCTTTAGTTCCTGTCTCCAGGTCCCTGGTGGAGTGTGTGTGTTTATCACAGCAATGGAAAGTAAATGTTTGAGATGCAAATAAACTAGTATACTTTGGAATAAAGTGTGTGGTAGAAATGGTTATGGTCAAGCAAGCTTTAAAAGCTTGGGCTTAAATAGTGTTTCTGCCCTTCTTTTCCTCCTTTCCCTCCTCCTCCTCTCCCTTGTCCTCCTCCTCATCCTCCTCTCCCTCATCTTCCTCCTCATCCTCTTCTCCCACCTCCTCCTTGTCCTCCTCTCTTCCTCTCCCTCCTCCTTCTCTCCTTCTCCCTCCTCATCCTCCTCTCTCTCCTCTTCCTGTTCTCTTCTTCATCCTCCCACTCTTCCCTTTTTCTTTTTAACAATTCCCAATGCCTTTATCCTTCACTGACATCAAACCTGGATTTAATTTTTTTATTTTATTTTTATTTTAAATATCTATCCCAGTTCCCTCTACCTCCTTGCCTCCCTCTTTCCCTCTCTCCCACCCTCTCATGCTCCCCTGACCACCCTCTCCTCCCACCCACTCCCACTCCACATGTAGGGTGATGCCTTCCAGGAGGGGTCATCTAAATTTGTCAAGTCATTTGGAGTAGTATCCCTCCATGGGGGATGTGCTCCCAAAGTCTTTTTTGTGCACCAGGGATACATCCTGGCTCCACTGTCTGAGGTCCCTTAGACTGCTCAGTCCTTCTGGCTGAGACCCATATTCAGGGAGGTCTGAGTCAGTCCCATGCTGGCTTCCCAGCTATCAGTCAGGGGGCCCGTTAGCTCCTCCTTGTTCATGTCAGCTGTCTGTATGTGTTTCTGCCACCTGCTCTTATCCTCCTCCTCTGCATCTGGGTTCCAGTTAGGCTCAGTGTTTAGCTGTGGGTGTTTGCTTCTGTTTCCATCAGCTACTAGATGAGGGCTCTATGATGGTGGATAAGTTAGTGTTGATCTCATTATCAGGGAAGGGCATTTATGGTAGCCTTTACACTGTTGCTCAAATTGTTAGTTGGGGGTCAGTCTTGTAGGTCTCTGGAAACCTGGATTTTATTTAAATGCATTGCCTTACATAGTGGTCAGAAATCTAATTGTATGTCTTGGGTCTTCTGACCTGTTTATAGCTCCAGATATTTCTGTATCAGTTATTTTCTCTGGCAATTTTAGGTGAAAATATTTTCACAAAGAAAAGGGGCAGGTGGTTACCTATTTATTTGTTTGATCCATAGCTTAACACCTCATTTTTATATTTTAAAAAAATCATGTTCAGCAACTATGTGTTCAGTGCAGTCCAGTGGAGAGTCCCCATATATCTCAGGACTGTGTAGTTACTTAGATTCCCATCCAGTGTGGAGAAGGTAGGAAGGTCTACATTACTGAGAATGGGAGAAGACTTAGGTCCTTATAGCAGAAAGGCACTTGGTTGTTGTTGTTTCTCTGTCCATAAACGTTGATTTAGTGTAACTCTCCCAGATTCATTTGTCTTCATAGTATCTGTGTCCACTTTTATTTGTTGACTAGTTGGTTGCTTTTGTTTTGTTTTCTTGAAGGGGGGTGAGGAGTTTGGGTTTGGCTGTTTTCAGACAGGGTCCCACTGTGTAGCTAGCCAAGATTCACCTGGAACTTTCCATCCCCTGCCTCAGTTTCCCCCTTCTGAAATTATAGGCATGTGCACGGCCCTGGCCAATGTCCCCACAGGTGTGACTCTAGTCTTTCAAGTTGACAGTTAATATTAGCCACCACTGTTACAGTTACACTTTTCATAACATATGAGGTAAGTTAGAACACCATAAAAGGGAGAAAAAGGAGGAGGGACTTAGAGAAGGGAGAGAACATGACGGGACCTCCAGTGACACACAAGTCCTCTGGTTTCCATCTTGGTCACATTTTACTCCTTTTTGGACTCTGACCAAGCAACCTACAAAGCAGCCTGTAACTTTATTAGTCTATTCATTCATCAATTGGGAATGGAATTTGAAATGAAGCATGCACGAAAAAGCAAGTCTTCGTTATATTGCTTGCATTTATAGAAAACAGTTCCATTTTTAGCTTTGGGCGATTGTTTTAGAATTTTAGGAAAAGCCTCTCAAACCTGGGAGCAGCATCCTTGCTTCCTACAGAATGTGACTGTAGACAGGAGCCAACATTTACAACAGTGGGAGCTGCTGAAAATAGAGTCCATGGAAGCCAAATTGTCCCTGTTAGTCTCCTTTCACTCAACAGTACTTAGCTGAGGAAGTATTTTGTAAGAGAGGACAGAAGGCTGAGTAAAGAACCTGGTGGGCAGTAGTCAGCTTAGACATACCCTGGAGCCTGGCATCAGCTGCCTGTTAAGATGGCATTCCTGTGGCTAATCTTGGCTGAAGTCAGTGTGTATGCCTTAGAACAGGTCCTGCTAGGTTACAGTTCCAAGATGCCTCTTACCACGAAGTTAAAAACGTTTAAAATAAACTATGTGGAATATGTGTTTAAAATAACCTTTCTTAAATATTTCCTATGAGCTTTCGTTTTCAAATGTTAAAGTCCGTCTTCCACAGATGTTATTTGGACAGCTCTGGGCTGCAGAATTTGATGTTACAAACGTTCTTAAATAAGAGGCATGCACTTAGCTAGCATTCTTAGAACCCAAAAGAAGTGCAGCAGACATTTCAATTTCCTGTGCGCTTTTTACATTGTCCTTTTTATTATTTTCCTCTTAGGCTGAAAACCTTCTCCTTGATGCTGATATGAATATTAAAATTGCTGACTTTGGTTTTAGCAATGAATTCACAGTGGGGAACAAATTGGACACATTCTGTGGGAGCCCGCCTTACGCTGCCCCTGAGCTTTTCCAAGGCAAGAAGTACGATGGGCCAGAAGTGGATGTGTGGAGTCTGGGCGTTATTCTCTACACGCTGGTCAGTGGCTCCCTGCCTTTTGATGGCCAGAATCTAAAGGTACCTGCTAATTGGTGCTGAAGCCTCATTCCCACGAGCTGTAATATCAGCCACTACTTACAAATACTTTCCTTCTTTGTCAAAGGAACTGCGGGAGCGAGTCCTCCGGGGGAAGTACCGCATTCCCTTCTACATGTCCACGGACTGTGAGAATCTCCTGAAGAAACTCTTAGTGCTGAATCCCATAAAGAGGGGCAGCTTGGAGGTGAGCATGCTGTGTCCCAGGTGGACACTCAGTACACAGCGTAGACAGCACAGGTGTGGTCCCCACCCCATCACGCTGCTGCTGAGCATGGTTCCTCATGATGCTGCAGAGTCCAGTTCCCAGAGTTTGCCCAGCATCCAATTTGCCTTTTCAGCATTGGAACTGACAGCTCTTTATTAAAAAAAAAAAAAAAAACCATAGTAGGTCTCTCCAAAGGCTTATTTCTTCTTGGTTCTTTGGTGAGTTATTAAAACTGACACAGTGGAGACAAAGATGACTACCCACACCAAGACAGGGTTTCTCTGTATAGTCCTAGCTGTGAACTCACTTTGTAGACCAGGCTGGCCCAAACTCAGAGATCTGCCTGCCTCTGCCTCCTGGGTGCTGGGATTAAAGGCCTGAACCTCCACCACAATTGCCTTTAGAAGGGATAAACCTAGCCTGTGTCAGAAACTACCTGACCAGATATTTGAAGGTTGAAAATGGTTGAGAAAATTCTAATCCAGTTAATTATTCACTTCATCTGAAATCATGTGAAGCCAAAGTCTGTAATAGAAACTTCTCGTCAGTATGGAAAATTTACAGACATATGAACAAAGTATATTGGGATAGGTGTTTTCCATTTAGCACACTGCTGTTAACCACATACATTCCATACATATTGTTTTGTATGTCCTGTGTTACAGAACCAGAAGAGGGTCTAGTGACAAAGGTGGCCTGTCTCTTTTCCTTCTTACACTGTAATTGGGATAACTAATGATCTTAAGCATTTCCCCATCTGGATCTTCTTTGGTTTGTAATGATTGACTGATTGATTGATTATGTGTCTGAGTGTTCATATGTATGTGAATTGCATAATTGCAATACCCTGAGAGTCCAGAAGAGGGGGTAAATCCCCTGTATTTGAATTACAAGTGGTTGTGGGCTGCCATGTGACCCCAACCTGGGAAATTTCATTTAATCTCCCAGCAATCCCTTTGGCTCCTTCACCATCCATCTTTAGGAATGCTTTGTGTTGTACTAAGAAAATTTCAGAGACTCGGAACTCACTCCTCACTTGATCTTTGAACACCTTCCTACCTGCATGGGAAGGCAGGAACTCAGAGAAGCCCCTGTGCTGTGTTTTTCTTGGGGGGCTTTCTGGCACTCACACCATGAGGTGCATCCCTGGGAAGCCAGCCCTGCTCATTCTCAGCTCAGCATGGGCTTCCTCATTCTGTTTCCACACATGCTTTTTCTAAAAGACACAGTATGTTTTGTTGGAAGTTGAAGACTTAGGAAACTAAGTCTTCCTTTGTAGGAGTGGATCAGTTGGCATTTTACTGAGTTATTTGTTTAAGTGTGGTTAGTTCTTACCTCAAGTTTTTTCTTGTGGTTTTCCTTTGGAGGTGAAAAGGCATGTTAATACTGACGTCTATATTGAAAGCCCATTTCTGTATTGTTTTTCTCAGCTTTCTTCCACCCATTCACAGAAAGTGTGTGATTGTTCGGAATGAAAAGCCAGTTCTGAGGGAATGGAACTTCAGAGAACATCATCCTCTGCTGTTCCAGCTCTGGGGTCCACTTTTCTTTGAGATTTATTTAAGTCATGCAAACGTTTGTGGGTGTGGACATGAGTGCCAGTGCTGGAAGAGGCTAGAGGTGTGGGTGGAACCCAAATCTATCCAGGAACTCCCTTCACCTGTGTGTCAGTAACAGATTTCCAGTGCTGAGGCAGTGATTCACATAAAGGTAGAGTAAAAGAACGAAAGCAGGAAACCACTGGGAGACAGTGCTTACAAACCTCTGTGGGCTGCTAATAAAAAATAAATGTGCTTCCCCCAAAGATGACTATTTACTGATTTAAATTTTGGCCAGAGTAGTTATCCAAAAGTTTTACTCTTCATCCTTAACATTAAAAGCCCAAAAGTTATATAGGCCTCATGGTATAGGCTAATAAGCCCAGTTACTGAGGAAGAGTTGAGGATCAAGGCCAGTCTCAGTGACTGAACCCCTATAGTTCAATGGAGGAACATTTGCCTGGCACACACAGGGCCTTAGTACAATCCCTAATGAAACCCTGAGTGTTAAAGCCTAATTATTATCTAAAAATATTATCTTACCACAATGAGTCCTGTTATCTTATATAATTTAATAAATACTATTGCTAATGATAATTAGATTTTTAAGATTTACTTATTTTATGTGTATGAGTATTTTGCCTGCATGCATGTGTGTGTGTGTGTGTGTGTGTGTATACCATGTACATGGATCCCTTGAAACTAGTTACAGACAGTTGTGAGCTGCCATGTGGGCACTGGGAATTGAACCTGGTTCCTCTAGAAGAGCAGCCGGGGCTCCTAACTGCTGAGCCATTTCCCCAGCCTGATGAGCATACTTTTTTTAAATGCTCAATTTTCAGAAGTTCCAGTTGATGAACTTGAGCATTATCTGTTTCAGAATTGTGAGTTCATGTTAGAAATAGTACACTGCACACTTGACTACACACAGGCTGGTCATAGGCCCCAGAAATAACAATCCAGAGAAATTGGATACCTTTTTGGGTTTTTTTTAGAATTTTTATTTAAATTTCTTTTCATGTGATGTATTTTGGTCATATTTTTTTCTGCCTGGGATTCCTCCCACCTCCCTACCCACCCAACATTATGTTTTTTGTCTCTCTCCCTCTCTCAAAAAAACAAAAAAAAAATCAAACAAAAAAAAACCCACACAGGACCCATTTTTTTGTTGGCCAATTAGTTCTGGGTATGGGGCCTGCCCTAGAAGGTGTTCAGTGTGCCCAGTGACACTCACTTGGAGAGAACTAATATCCCTCTCCCAGCAGCTGCCTATTGTAAATGGCTCCTTGGTTAGGTATGAGACTTTATGTCTACTCCCTCCATGCTAGATTTTGTCTGGTTTGAACATGTGCAGGTCTTTTTTTGTGATGTCTCAGTCTTTGTGAGTCCTTGTATATCAACCCTGTCATCCTTGGAATCATCCTCTGCCTCTGGCTCTTAGGATATTTCCACCTCCTCTTCTGCATAAGTCCCTGTGCCTTGAGGGGAGGGGTTTGATAAAGACATCCCAAAGTCTCCCACTCTGCACATTGTCCAGTTGTGTTAATTACTGTCTACTGCAAGAAGAAACTTCTCTGGTGAGGGCTGAGTGATATACTGATCTATATAGTTAGTAGTAAGCTTTCCCCTAGGCCCATGACTTATCTAATCTCAGGTTCTTGGCTGCTTTAGAAGTGTTTAGATACCAACTTAAGAAATGGGCCTAAATCCAGTCAAAAATTTGTTGGTTACTCCCATGACACTGGTACCACTGTTGCACTAATGTGTCTCAGAAACCCCCTTAAAGCAGCAGTGACCTCAAGAATTGTCTCATATGACCTTCATTATTATTATGCAACATAAATATTTGGGGGTGGGGGGGAACAACATCAGTCCTTCATGGCTACCAGCAAGTTGCTCAGCTCCTCCCACTCCTGTCACTTTGTGGCCCTTGTTAAAGCCCACAGCTATGGAGTAGCACAGGTTCATGGCTCTGGACAGCAGGAGATGGCTGAGTTCTGCCGTGCATGCCTTCTGCTCTCATGGGAGTCCCGATGGTGGAAAGTATGGCCACATTTAATTTTTATAAGTTTTAATTTTATTCATTTTTATGTGTGTAAATGTTTTACCCACATGGATGTTTGTGCATCATGTCCATGGCTGGTGCTGTACCAACATTGGATCCCCTGGAACTGGGGTTACAGATGGTTGTAAGCCGCTTGTAGGTCCTGGGAATCAAATCAATCCTTTTGGAAGAACAGCTAGGGCTCTTAACCACTGAGCCATCTCTCCAGCCCTTTCTACCAGTTATAGTTAATAAATTTTAACATTGTGTGTATGTGTTGGGGGAGAGATTGTAAACTTGTTTAAAATGGTTATTTTCAAAACACTCCTTTGTGTATAAGCATAGCTTTTTAGCCAGTAGTAGAAGTTTGGGGTGTAGTGTGTGGCTTACATTTTATGGGTCTCTGTACATATTCTGAATGCTCACCATCACCCAGGTGTAGCTGTTTTCTCCCACTCCATGGTCAGTCCCACCGGGTTGCCTTCAACAGCCCAGGGCTGATGGTTACAGCCCAGGGTATTTGATTCTGATAATTCACGACAGCACCTGTTTCACCTCGATTGATACCTACTTTCTGATTCTGAGCTTTTATGCTTACCACCATCCCTAACCATATTCTTTGAGTTAACTGGACTGACTAGCCTAGATTTTCATCCCCCAAGATACGCTCTTTCTGAAGAGTGTGAGTTTAAAATTAGTGCATGAATTTGGTAGAAGACCATGAAACAATTAATCTTTTTATTAATCTTATACACAAAAATATGAAGCAAAAGTTACAATAGGGTTGTCATGTTAAAACTTCCATCTGAAAACATTCCTTTCAAAGGAATATGGAAGGAGGGTTACTTATACATGGCCTTTGGTGAGTTCTGGTTAATCTAGTTGTGCTGAGATTCTGGGTGTCCTGGAGAGCCACGCCTTCTGTTGGACCGTTAATTAAAGTACATGGAGTAACTTTATTTAACAGTGTCACATGACTCTCACTGAGTGAACCAATAAATTTCACATTTGAGGAGTGGGTTGATGTGGTAATTCATCAGACGTGACTTAGAGTTTATTTCCTAGCAAATAATGAAAGACCGGTGGATGAACGTTGGTCACGAAGAAGAAGAACTAAAGCCATATTCTGAGCCTGAGATTGACCTTAGTGATGCAAAAAGGATAGGTAAGTGTTTGATGAGAGGCACTACTGTAGACTACCAGTGAGTAGTGTTTATATGGGACTGTGTATTTAAAATACTTTCATTACCACATTAACTTCCTTACTTTGTTTTCTTGTGAATCTATGGTTCTGTTCAATTTATTGGCAACTGTAATGAAAACTAAAATAAATTTGACGAACATTTTTTTTTTCATTTCTGCTCTCCCTCACTGGAAGAAGGCCCAATATAACTATCAGCACTGAGCAGCTGAAAAGTCCAGCAAAGTCCAGGACACTGGAGTCTAAGCTATGGGCCTCTCCCTTTCTGCTCAGCAGAGTTGACCTTCCCTGACCCCAGTCCTCATTAAGAACTTGATGGGGACATTGTAGAAGTCAAGCCTTATTAGAAGAACTGTGTATACAGATGAGAAAGGAAGTGGAGGTCTTGAATTGAGATAGTCATCTCTTCATGAGTAGTTGAAGATGTGCTGAAAGAGACAGCAGAGAGAAAAGAATGGGTGTGTGTGAGGCTAAACCTTGCTGGGACAAAGGAAGTCAGCTCAGAAATGCCCCAGGAAATGAGAATTGGGTGAATATATTAAATAATATAATAAATTAATTTAATATATATTATATATAAAATCTTATTATATTAAGTAATATAATAAAAACATAATTCTGCACACACAGAAATGGGGCTGGAGAGATGGCTCACTAGTTAAGAGCACTTCTACAGAAGGCCCGGGTTCAATGTTCTGCACCCAGATTGTGTCTCACAACCGTCTGTAACTCCAGTCCCAGGGGAACTGATGCTCTGTTCTGATGTTCACAGACTCCAGGCAGGCATGTAGTCACATAGATACATGTAGATAAAACACTTAAATAGGTTTTAAATATTGTAAGTGTACAGTGTCTGGGTGTATACTACATGTCAGTTAATAACCCAAAGATTTTATAGTTAAAACTCACTTTGAATATTTTAAGAACTTGTTTTTCCTAACATGATTGACAAACCTGTATTTTTGCTGGTTATTTACTAAGTGAATACATTTTTAGAAAACTTTCTGATTTTTTTTCTTTTCTAGACATTATGGTCACCATGGGTTTTGCACGAGATGAAATCAATGATGCCTTAGTAAGTCAGAAATATGATGAAGTCATGGCTACGTATATTCTTCTAGGTAGAAAACCACCTGAAGTAAGTTCTTTGTCTTTTTAAATTAATATTAACTAATTCTTGAGTTAATAGATAAAGATATGTTAGTAAATGCATTTGTTACTTTGTGGAACCAAAAAGATCAGTCTTATTAGTGATCATAATTCAAGATGCTAAGTTATATATGGATCTCATTAGGAACCAGCAGGCAGTGCCCTGCTTGGCCCCAGGAGCCCCACCCGCAGTCTCGACTTTGAGCATGGTGTCCTCAGAGTTAGTTATATTGTGCACACTGTGTAGCCAAAGGCAGTGTGATTACCTTGTACAGAAACAACAGGGACTAAAGCAAAGAAAGTGTGTGTGTCTGCAACAGCTTATACACACAGGACCCCAAAAGAAGGTACCTCATGGTGTTGGCCTTGTTTGTGTCAGCTGGCTCTTCTGGTGACCACAGGAGTCCATGGTAAGGAGACAGATGCAAGAAATAGTTAGAGTGAGCTACATAAGTAAATGGTCCTTTGGGAAAGCAGCTATAGAGAGATAAATTGAAATAGGAACAGAGGCCAGAGCACTGAAAGTTGAAAACTAGACGTCTGTGGGAGGCATTCTGTAAAAAGGCTATAATTAAGCATAATTAAATACTGTGAACAAAATCATACATTCCAACGGAAGTTTATTGAAGCTGCCTCTGTCAGAAACTATGCCGACACCGTAAGGGTAAATCCAGTAAGTCTCCTGTCCAGGAGCCCTCAATGTAGAGCATAGCAGCCAGCAGCTCCATGGGGCGTGCTGCAGTCACTCTGGGAGCGAATGAGAGCCAGCCCCATAAGCCAGGGTAAAGTCCACCACGGTGGTCCATGTGGTGTGTACCACATAAAGCTGATGCCACTGGGTGAGCGGTGGAAGCCGGGACGAGCTCTGATTTCTCACAGTGTCTGCTGTGTAAAGACCCTTGTCAGGAGCAGCTAGCTCAGTGCAGGGGAATGGGAAGAGAGAGAATTTTGTTGGGTGGCACTTGTAGTAGAGATGGGATATAAAGATCTGGATTTGGAGCAAGGATTTGATATGGTACGGGAGTTGTTATCACAAGACTATGTAGTGTACACGTGCTAGGAACCCTTGTAACTGGTGCAAGTATTAACTCATCTAACCTCCCAGTGAGCGAATCTGCAGGGACCATAACTGCTGAGGGAAGAGGGGACCCAAAGGGCACCAGCACCAGGGGCTGTGCACAGTGTCAAGAGAGCCATGTGGGAATGGCCCAAATAGTTACTTCTAGCCTCTTCTGACTGGTCCTATTTGGATTTCAAATGACCTCCGGGCACTTCAATTTTCTTGTTAAATTTCTTATTAAATTTAAATACAAAGTCCAAGCTATATTAAAATCAAATACGAATTGTATTAGAAATAAACTATTGACGCTACGGAGAATGTAAAGAGTTAGGTTCATTTTCTGTGCCTCAGTTTTTAATCTGTTTACTTAGCTCTTTGTGCCATTGAAAAGGTTTAGTAAATTAATCCCTGACACACCTTAGAACAGTTGCTGATGAATCACTCTCCACAGCCCTGCTGCTGTAGGCAGCAGCGTTCTCACTGCTTACAGGAACATCCTAGCTTTCCAGTACAGCGCCAGGCCTGGACTCCAGCTTTACCAGCCACACACAGCTTTCAAATGACAGAGGAGGCTGTGTGTCAGCCCCCAGCTTACCATGGTCAGTGCTAGGGAAGGCGTCTCCTCATCAGAGCCAAACAAATTTTGTTTTATAAATGTAGAACAGCAAACAAGGCAGTTTAATTTTAGTTCATGGTATAGAACATCGTTATTTTGATACTGTGTGTGTGTGTGTGTGTGTGTGTGTGTGTGTGTGTGTGTGTGTGTTACTTGATGTTTTGACTAAACTGAGAAATTGTGCACAGTAACAGATTACAAGTACTAGTGGGAGTGCTCTGCTACCCAGCTCCCTCCCTTCTCCTTGACAGTCTGAAGTCTGTTTTCTTTAGTTCTGATTGCTCCTTATATAGCTTCAAATCATTCTGTTTATACAAACACTTTGCTGTTTTAAAAATCTGGGTGGTCACTCTTCTCACAGTTTGAAGGTGGTGAGTCACTGTCCAGTGGAAACTTATGTCAGCGATCCCGGCCAAGCAGTGACCTGAACAACAGCACTCTTCAGTCCCCTGCTCACCTGAAAGTCCAGCGGAGCATCTCAGCCAACCAGAAGCAGCGTCGCTTCAGTGACCATGGTGCGGGAGCAAGTCTAAGACTGAGAGACAGGCTAGCTCTACCCCAATTTTGTGTGTGTGTGTTTTGCCCAAACACGCTTCCATTTCCTTTCGAGACTAGCACCTTCTCACAGATGTACATCATTAGACCATCAGTAGGATCTCTTTTGAGGAGACCTGAACTGATTTGTGTAATCAATATCATCCTAGTTGAGAGCGTAAGGCACACAAATGCAGATGTTTTTAACACAGAAGTTCTTTGAGGGATGTCGATCAGTTGTTTCTCAGCTAATGTTGCTATTTCTACACATTGCAGCTGGTCCCTCCATTCCCCCTGCTGTGTCATACACCAAAAGATCTCAGGCCAACAGTGTGGAAAGCGATCAGAAGGAGGAGTGGGGCAAAGACTCAGCCCGGAGACTTGGCAGCACCATTGTGGGGTCAAAGAGCGAAGTGACAGGCAGTCCTCTCGTGGGTCCGGACAGGAAAAAGTCTTCAGCTGGCCCAAGTGTGAGTCCAGGCTCTCCTGTATCCAACCTGATCTCATGTGTCAGAGAGATTTTGTAAAGTCCTTGTCTTTCATCCTTTTAAATCTTTCAAAATGAGTCATAATTAAAGACCGTGAAAAAGAACCCAAGCTTCCCATGAGGAAAACAGTGCAGAGAATTCTTTGTTGTTGTCGTTAACATTGTTTTAAGGCATTTCACTTGGTAGCCCAGGCTAACCTGGAGCTCCTACTTCAGCCTCTCGAGTGTTGGGATTATCCACAAGAGGCCCTACAACCAGCTAAAATCCTTAAATTCATAGTCTCACTCAGAATGGGACATTAGACCCTGATGTGTGTCCTGCTTCTGTGGTATTTATTATTTAATGTTATATCTGTGCATTTAATCTATCTTGACATCTGCAAGTAAATTGCTCTATGAGAGCAGACTCATTAGTAATTCGTCATCTTAATTCCCATGAAGTCTCTTAAAATGCCACAATCTAGAAATTTATTGGGAGTCAGAAAAGAGGCCACAGTACTGTCCTCACAGTACTGTGAGGCAACAGGAAACAATAGAGATAGAAAAAAATACAAAAAACAAACAAACAAAACAGAGATGGAAGGGTGAGAATAGGGTGGGTAACATCTAGATAGTAGTGTCTTGAGTACTTGAGGGAACAAATGTTTGGAGGAATAATAACAGTGGAAAGAGAAGGCCAGGAATGGCAAACAGAAGCCAGAAGTGTGTTCATGAACTGACTAAAGCAGATTGTGTAGGCTTACAGAAAACAAGGTGAGGCATGCTTAGAGATGTCAGTGGAGAGCTGGTAACCACAAGAGAACAAAAGTAGACAGACTACTTTCAGATTGGCCATCAATAGTGTGGACGCCAGATGTAATGGCGTTTCTAAACTTTTGGAGAGGTAAGAGAGAACTATTTAAGGCCTAGAATTTTATGTCTAGCCAAACTTATAATAATGATAATATTCCTAGACATAAAATGTGACAGGTCTTTGACTGTTATTTATTTATTTATTTATTTATTTATTTATTTTTGGTTTTTCGAGATAGGGTTTCTCGGTGTAGCTTTGTAGACCAGGCTGCCCTCGAACTCACAGAGATGCACCTGCCTCTGCCTCCTGAGTACTGGGATTAAAGGTGTGCATCACCACCACCTGTTTTACAGTGACTATTTAAAAACACTGTACTACTTAAGAAAGTATTCTTGCAGGAAGAGAAAAACATAATAAATTGTTGTAAATTATTAAGAGAATTTAAAGTAACTGAATAATTTAGTAAGAGCCGTGAGGTGGCTCCATGGGCAAGAGCACTTGTCACCGTGTCTGATAAACCTGAGCTTCATCCAGCACCCCAGAGTGGGAGGAGAAAAGATTGTCCTCTGACTTCCACGTGTAAGTGCACAGACACACACGCACACACACTGAAAATTCTGAGCACTATCCAGGGAATAGGGGCAGGACAGAGACTAGAACATAATAAACACAAGGGGTAAGGGCGGGGCTGAGATTAGAACATAAACACAGGGGTGGGGATGGGGCTGAGATTAGAAGATGAATATGAGAAAGAAGAAAAAATGGATCTTTCTTATGTGATTGTCTAATCAACTAAAAGTATGCTATGAAGTTTTTGTAATAATTAACAGTTTTAAATACATTTCTTTGATTTTACACTAATGTAGTTAAGATTTTAATTTTTTTTTTTTCCTGCTTCTCTGTAAAGAACAACGTATATTCTGGAGGAAGCATGACGAGGAGGAATACATACGTGTGTGAAAGGACCACAGACCGGTACACAGCATTGCAGAATGGAAGAGACAGCAGGTGAAGGTCACTGAGCCCAACCACGGTGTCTCTGTCACTGCTGCAGATTAGCTTTGCTGAAATGTCTGTAGGTGTGTGGCTCCTAGGAAAGGAATTCAGAGCCGTACCCTGCAGTCGCTGTTCTCAACTGGAGTGTTTCCCTTGCCACCATGATGGAAGGGTGGAAGTGTACTTAGGGAATAAGAAGTAGCTTCTCTTAATTTCCAGGTTTCTGAACGAAATATGGAAGTGAATATTTCTTAGGACCCAAGTGGCATGTACAGTCCCAATCTGACGAGGCTGACTTTCCACATGTACCCTGCTCCATCATCCCTCTGCCCCTGCCCCTCTGCCAACTCCTGTTATACCCAAATAATAAAGGCTTCCTTTCCACCCCCTAATGAAGTGTGGCCACCTCAGCTCAACTAGAACCACAAACTCCTGAGTTTTATTGTAGTTGGAAAAAGTGCTCATTGCCTCAGAAGGATGAGCACCTGTGGCGATGACTTTCTCTTCTGAGCTCCAGCCATTCCACAGAGAGACAGTCCCTTCTCGCTTCACTTTCTTCTCCTCTGTAGGCAGGGAAGGTGTGGAACTGTGGCTTCCTCGGGTGTGACATTCTTTAGGCTTGGTGGTTGGAAGTTGATTTCCAATTATTTACTGTGTCTCCTATACCATATGCTAATCTGTGTCTCTTTACACCCACAGTGGCTAGCCTGCTCTTCATAGCATGAGCTGAAGGAGGGGTTGTCTATAGAAATGGTGGTTTTCATAGTTATGAGTTCCAATGCTTAAATGACGTAGGAAGATTCACAGCAACATATCACACAAAACTAATCTTAGAATAAGTGAGGAATGTCCCCAGCAGTGGTCATCTAGTCTGTTGCCGTCACACATCATAAATATGTCCTGCCTTCTCACAGAATAACATTTGAAAGCTTTTCAGTGCACACTCCTTAAATGGAGAGTTGATTCGTTAATCAGTACGACGTGTTCACTTGTTTCAAGTGTTGCAGTCCTGAAAGTATCAGTTGATTGAGAATTAGGAAATCTCCTCCTTGGGTTTTAGTAACTGTACCTTTTCTTTTATGTCAAGCCTGACAGAGATGTCTGCCAGCAGCATATCCTCTGCAGGTTCCACAGCAGCTTCTGCTGGCCCCTCAGCACGGCCCCGCCACCAGAAGTCTATGTCGACCTCTGGTCACCCTATTAAAGTTGCACTGGCGACCATCAAAGATGGCTCTGAAGCTTACCGGCCTGGGTGAGTCCTGCTTCCATTGCACTCTCAGTAGTCACTCCCTCTTCTAGAGCACTAGGAAAAGATGCGGTGACAGGGGAGTGCTGATGTGACACACAGTTAATGTGTGCGTTAGCAGTGAGCTAAAACTACTTAAAATCCTTTCTGAGAAGAATGTTCTGAAAGAATTGTGCTCCTAATCCATCCACAAAGCATCACCACCCGGTTGTTCACTTAAGTAAATGGAGCGGTTAGTGAGAAGGATCCACAGGTGGAGGGTGTTACCGTCAAGCCCAGTGACCTCGGTTCTGTCCCTGGGATCCACGTAGTGTAAGAGAACCAGCTCTCAGGAGTTGTCTTCTGACCTCCACACATGCACTGTGGCAGGAGCACACATGTACGCCTGCATGCAAATAAATTAGGCTAAAAAAAAAAAAAATACGGTGGTGGCACCACCTTTAATCCCAACATTTAGGAGGCAGAGGCAGGTGAATCTATGAGTTCGAGACCAGCCTGGTCTATGAAGCTAGCTCTAGGACAACTAGAACTACACAGAGGAACCCTATGTTGAACGCCACCCCCCCCAAAAAAAAAAATAAGACATGCAAAAACAAACCCAGGTAGGTGCCGTGGACTTAGGTCCTAGTGGTTACATTATGAGTGGAGCAGCTGCTTGGCATAAAATTCAATTCACATTTTTGAGTTTTGCCTGTTGTAGGATTTCTGAAACTAAGAGCATCTGAACATGTTATCACTTCAGTAATTAGGTTTTGTCAGTCATGTTGATGCACCGTGTAGCATTGAATCCCCTGGAGTTCAAAGTAGGAACATGGGGTGGTATTATAAAAAGGCTTTTTGACAATAAAAATTTATCCTCTATGTTGCTCAGCAATGTGCATGAAAATTATTCAGATTGATTACCCCTTATCTGAAATTCCTAGACCCTGGAGCCTTTTGGATTTTGTACATTTTCCAATTCTGCAGTATTTGTATGTACATAATGAGGTAGTCAGATAGGACATGAATTTAGGCATAGAATTCACTTAGATTTTTTGCATAATTTACATGCACAGCCTAAAGATATTTCATAGTTGTTATAATTTAAAAAGCAGCATGAGCAAGAAAGACACTATGCAACAAAACTCACACTAGGGGAAAGGGAATGGGAAAAGGAGGGAGACCAACCTCTGGGGACAGGAGCAACAGAAGAGAAGAGAGAGGGGCATAGAGGAAGAGGGAAAGAGGGAGATATAGGAGGTGGGCAGAGCGCTTTTAAAAGGGAACGTAGTGAATGTGCACAGGTGGTGCTCTCTCTTTAGTGGCTGCCCCTGAGGATGTATCCTGTCAGAACCCCAAGGACAGGCCAGTGCAGATGCCTGAACACTAACAATAGTGTTTTTAGTGCACTTCACATGAGGACACACATGGAATTTTATGTGTAGTGTCTTATTAATACTCAAAAGATTTTTGGATTTTGAAGCATTTGGAATTTAAAATACTGCAGCTTACATAGTAAAAGCTCATGTGCAGCCCCCATGTTGGGGGAGTCTGACAGGATTTTTCCTCAGGTCAGTGATTTGTCAGTCTTTAGTCACCAATTTTTACAAACAGTATATATTTTAAAGTTACTTCCCATCCTTGTATAGTGATACAGAAAATTAATGTCCCATGCCCCTCATTTCTAATGTGAGTCAAAATCATTGAGTCAACAGAAGTAGCCATGCTTTTCCTTTCCCAGTTTTTAGCCTGAGTGAAAGCTGCTCCTGTCATTATTCTGAATAATATATCTTAATTTCTCCCAGCAGTACAACTCAGAGAGCGCCTGCTGCTTCCCCATCTGCCCACAGTATTAGTGCCACCACTCCAGATAGGACCCGTTTTCCCCGAGGGAGCTCCAGCCGAAGCACTTTCCATGGGGAACAGCTCCGAGAGCGACGCAGTGCAGCTTATAATGGGCCACCTGCCTCCCCATCCCATGAACCAGGAGCATTTGCACATGCCAGAAGGGGAACGTCAACTGGGATCATAAGCAAAATCACCTCCAAGTTTGTACGCAGGTCAGTGCCCTCTGGCTGTGGTGGTTTTCTCTGCACCTCACTAAAGCTGCCCTCTGCAGGAGCTGGGAGTAAATCACCAGGAAGAAATGATCTTTTTCCTTAAGGGAAAGAAATTGAAAATGGAGAAAATGGGAATCTAGGGACTGCAGGGGCAGCTCAGTTGTGACCATGCACGAAGCCCAAGGTCAGTGTCCAGCACTCAGGGACCAAACACAAGGAGAGCAGAAGCTCAAGATCACTCTCAGCTATAGAACCGATCTGAGGCATCACAAAAAGAATAGAAAGCTTTTGTAGAATACAGCCAAAAAAAAGTGACATAAACATTTGGCCTGTCTTGTTGCACACACTAAAATCCCTGCACTTGGGAAGCAGAAGCAGGCAGATCTCTGTCAGTTCAAAGACATATGGAGATAGTGAGTTTCAGAACAGCAAGGGCTATGGAGAGAGACCCTGTCTCCAAAAAAAAAAAAAAAATTAACATATTACATAAGATTTAAAATTTTTTTATTTAGGAAAAAGAATGAAATATAAGTTCATATGTATCCTTCAGATATTAGCTAAGTTTTTGACTTTATTTATTTATTTATTGAGGTGAGGAGGAGAACCTGTCTTAGCATGTGGCGAGTAGGGAATCAAAGGACACTTGCAAGAATCAATTCTCTCCTTACCCCATATGATTTCTGGGGTTGAGCTCAGAGCATTAGGCTCCATAGCAAGTGCTATTACCCCCACAAGATGAGATGTGTTTATAATAAATAAATGTATTACCTGGTGAAATAACACAACTGTACTTCGTGCAGAGTAGCCATGCTTATATATTGCACAGTGAACCTAGATTATATGGGTTGTCACGCAAATGCAGACTGATAAAAATTTGACCCACTAATATCACTATATGTGACTAGAGCCCTGCTACATGCAAAACACTGTGCTAGGCAAGGGCTCTAAAGATGAAGAGGGTGGTATCTAAGACCCTCAGAGTCTTAGAGCCATGGGAGAAACAAGCCTGTTAAAAACTAGCTGTGGTCTGAAGCAGATTGGACCTAACAAGTGAAACGTGAAGACAAGTCAGTCAAGGGAAAGGCATGATTGTCTAAGGTCCATACCATGTCATATGAACTAAGTCTTAAATCATGAATGAAGAAATTATGATGCTTGCAGTGTCCTTGATGCTCCTAGTATTTCTTGGAGAAGTGCATGGCAGTTCATGTCTTTAATCCCAGCACTCAGAAGGAAGGTGGACTGCTATTACAAAGTAGCAACCCACCACAAGCAAACAAAGCTTGGGTAGGTAGAGAAGAGCAGCAGCCTCTTGCCTCCCACCTGTGAGCCTCTTGGTGGGAACACACAGCTGAGTTTCCAGTCTTAAATCTAGTAGATGCTCAAGAAATGGCAGTAACATGTATTGCAGTAAAACAGTGAAGAAGGATTTACACCTAACCCTAATGAGGAAGCTTACTTAAGTGTCATTTTAATTTATGGGTTTCCTTGATCTTTTGCTTTTAAAGTTATTAAATCTCAACCTTCTCTTTATTTTTGAGGGACCCAAGTGAAGGCGAGGCCAGTGGCAGAACCGACACAGCCAGGTGAGCCACAGGGGCTGGGTTCTCCCACACCTGGTGACCAGGACGGGGTGATAGCTCAATAGCATCTGCATTTAGAATCTTTACATTCAAAGTGTAGTAGGTTTTCCTGATGTCACCTAGCACTTAATGAAGTTCAAGTTCAACAAACTTTGAATTGCAGACTAGGTAAAGACTTGGGTTCCCTGCTCTGTCAGATGAGTGAGAGGGAGCAAAGGGATTCATGGGTGCACATGCACTGTTCTCTCTGTGTGATTTGGGGTCACTAAGATGAACCTGCATGGAGAAGTGCAGAGCACTAGGGTCACTACAAATGTGTGATGAGTAAGAAGCCTAATAAGTGGTCAGTTAGTGTGTCAGAATACATGAATATGGAAAAAGTAGAATAAGAAGGCATGGCCATACTTGGGCAGGAGTCCGTGATTAGGGACTCTGATGGAGATTGGAAAAAAGAAAGGAAGTCTCCATGTTGCCTGCCTAAGCAGGAGCTTAGAGAGGAGTGCACAGGCCTTGTTCAGGATCGGCATGGAAGCCCTGGTATCCCAGCAGGAGAGAGCAGAGAAGGAAATGATAGACAAGGGGTAGAGGCCACAGGCTGCCTTCTAAGCCAGTTTGCACATGCCTTTAGAGACATGGGAGAGAGCAGAGCAGGCGTGCTGCTGAGATGTCCTGACTTAACTGCCGTCTGCCTCCCGACTGTTAGGTTGAAACCTCTTTCCCTTCGTAGTCATTGCATTGCTCCTACACAGAGAGGATAGAAAAGGGAAATTTACTTGTACTTTAATACTGTGTTTTATCAGGAGAATCCTAGAGGTGGCTAATGTGTCTGTGTGTCTCTGTGTATGTGTGTCTGAGTGTGTGTGTGTGTGTGTGTGTTTGTGTGTGTCTGTGTGTGTGTGTCTGAGTGGGTGTATGTGTGTGTCTGTGTGTGTGTTTGTGTGTGTGTGTCTGAGTGGGTGTGTGTGTGTGTGTCTGTGTGTGTGTGTCTGAGTGGGTGTGTGTGTGTGTGTGTGTCTGAGTGGGTGTGGTTGTGTGTGTGTGTGTCTGAGTGGGTGTGGTTGTGTGTGTGTGTCTGTGTGTGTGTTTGTGTGTGTATGTCTGTGTGTGTGTGTTTGTGTGTGTGAGTGAGCATGCATGTGTGTATTGGGGAGGACATGTCTGTGTATTTGTAGTATGTGCAGAAAATGAAGAATATAGCAAAGAATTATTAAGGTTTAGCTTTCAGCTGCAAATTTCTTTCCAGGAACAAATGCACTTAAGAAAGTTTGCTGCTTTAGGCTGAAGATGCTAGATGCCAAGTACATAGTGCCTCTGGGTCTGTTTACAAGCATCATGGTATCACGCATCTCCGGTCCCTCTGAGGGCTGGCTGCAGACTCGACAGTCCATTAGGCATGGAGCTATCACTCACTTTTATGGTTGTGACTTCTTTGCTGAGTAGAACTTTTGTTTTTATTGTTCCCCTTTGCCCTCTTCTAGAAGTACATCAGGGGAGCCAAAAGAGAGAGACAAGGAAGACGGCAAAGACTCCAAGCCACGTTCTCTGCGGTTCACGTGGAGCATGAAGACCACCAGCTCCATGGACCCCAACGACATGATGAGAGAGATCAGAAAAGTTTTAGATGCCAACAACTGTGACTACGAACAGAAAGAAAGGTTCCTGCTCTTCTGTGTCCATGGAGATGCAAGGCAGGACAGCCTTGTGCAATGGGAGATGGAAGTCTGCAAGTTACCTCGGCTCTCACTGAATGGGGTCCGCTTCAAGCGAATATCTGGGACATCTATTGCCTTTAAGAACATTGCATCCAAAATAGCAAATGAGCTTAAGCTGTAAAAATGTGTAAGCTTCAGGGTCAGGGAAGATGCACCTACATCTGAGGTACAGTTTTTGAATGTACTGGTGATGCCTAATGTGGTCCACCTGTGAATCTCCCATGTAGAATTTGTCCTTGATGCAATAAGGTTATACATAGCTATGAACTGTAAAATTAAAGTCAGTATGAGCTATAATAAGAATCTGTAGCTTAAAAAGTAGGTCTACATGTACAGGTAAGTATATTGTGTATTTCTGTTCATTTTTTGTTCATAGAGTTGTATAATAAAATATGATTGCTTTAAAACTTGTATACCTGTCTAGATCTCCACACAGAAGTGTACATTCAATGCTTTCAGTTGAAAATGGTTACCTGTTATTTACACTTTGGTGGGTTTTTAAAATTCTTACCTCCATCATGCTATTTTGAAAATTGTGTTCAGGATTAAAAGCGCACAGAAATAGTCTTTAAAATTGTAGCATGAACTTTATGAAATTATTTTTTAAATCATATTTAATTTAAACCAGAAGTTGACAGTGATCGGTGTCATTCAGTTTCTCCTGCTTTTCTTGCTCTCAGCCTGTGTCAGACAAGGCGTGGTTAGGGGACACAAAATGTTTACAGTGTTGACCCCTAGATTTCTAAACAAATGAAAAGAAACCATAGCTTTGCCTTGAGCTAACTCAGAAGTACCGAGGTAAGAAATTCAGTCTATACCAAGTTTATTTCACCCTTTGTTTTCTGACCTGCTAATTAGCAGCAGAGAGTGAAAGAATCCATAGTTCACCTGGCTGTTGTGAAACAAACCAGCACTTAGGTTTGCTGCCTTCGGAACGCGCAGGGTAACTGGGAATGCAAGTGTCGGGATGTCTTATAGCACAAGCTCCTCTGTACAGAGCTCATGAATGCGTTGCCTAAGATATGATGCCGCCTCAGGAACTGACTGCGTTGGGAGCATTTGCCCCCGTGTCTTCCCAGCTTCCAGCCACTCGAGCCACCGCACTGTCTGCGAGTACTCCAGAGACCCAAGAGCAAGACGTGCTCTCCACACCCACGTACTACGGATTCATGCTGGCCGGGTGGTTCGCTTTGCTCCCTCAGAACCCATTTGTTTTCTATATTTTGCCCAGGGTCTCATGTTTCCTCCACATCATTATGCCTATAACGTGCTGCTTTGTAACTGGTCATTTGCCTTCTCTCCTTTCATAGCTAGCGACGTATGCGACGTAAAGCCACTGGTAACGGTACCTTTTTAACACGTATTATTTTGTACTGAAAAGCCTTGGAGGGTGACTGTGCAATGTTATTTAATGTTGTGACTTACTGTAATCAGCATATGGGCCCCATCTGCACACTCATGAAAAATAGAAACCGTTCTCAAAGCTTATAGACTGAAATAAAACTTATGCTGTCGTCCGTGCTCTCATTGGAAGCTACCTGGAAACTGTCAGTGTAGGCGATGGGCTGTCCACAACAGCTTCCAGACAAAGGTGGTTTTTAATTCTGTGCTGTACTGTGATGTAGCTTTCTTCTTAACAGTCTGTTCCAAATGATGTGTTTTCTTGCCTTAGGGAAGGGCGTTGTTTGTGGGGGAGCAACAAAACAAAACTGTGTAGCCCCTTTTTAACCTGGTGTTCATTCAGAACATTCGATGCAGCTCTGCATTCATCCTCACTGGTGCACACTGAGGTCTCACTTGAACAGATCTCATAATAAAGCATTTGTCTATTGCTCTGTCGGGTCGTGAGTCACCTGTTGTCTACTTGGAGGGCCCTCGGAGTGTGTTCTTCCCTGTGCCCGTGCACTCGGTAAGTAAGCGGTGAGGCTCTTTAGGTTCTCAAAATCTCATTGTGGCAAGAAAGCGTCATCTTTTTGCAGGGTCTGGCCATGGAAATACTTCTCAGAACAGAGGCCCCAGGTGCCTTGCAAGCCAGAAGCTCAGGTGCTTTCATTTTCTCACTCCAGCCAACCCAGTGCTTTATTGGAGGGAATTTTATTTCCGTATTTTTTATACACTTGAAATGAAATTTTGACATTCACTTTATGTTATCTGTTTTATGTGTTCATGATAACATATTATTTTGAAAACTCTGGAATTTTAATACGTTTGCTATATAATAGAAGGATCTCCTTGACTCTGTGGAAGTAGTAGTTGGTATGCTATCCCTTGTGTTGTTTCTTAGAAAATAGGACATCATATTTTGTCTAACATCCAGAAATAACAAATAGCAAGATAAAGATGAAATCTCCTTCAGAATTATGACCCAGTAATATTCTGTGGGGTAAAATTTGATTTTAAACAAGAAGATGTTATTATGGGTGAATGTCTCTGAAAATGCCATTCCACACTCACCTTCCTGGAAGTAAAAGATGCATTTGGCCTGAAGAAATGAACAACATGCTCCCTGCCTTGTTTTTACAATACCTATGAAGAGAATTGCATCTTAAGATGTGTAAAACCACTATATAAACGGTTCCCTCTTCTACAGCATTGTGGTCCACTTGGGGAGCAGACAGAAACACATACACAGTCAAAAAGATAAATGGGTATCATTGAAAGGGACTCCCCCTCAAAAAAAAGATAATAAATTATCTAATCTGGAAGTACAGGGAAGAGTGAGTTTCAGGTAACACTAGCAAGTAAAGTTGGAATGGGAAGGAGCCTAGAAGAGAAGGGCAAGTTAGGCAGAGCTAGTAAGGAAGGAAACAGGCAAGAGGGTTGCTGCAAGTTTCAGGCCAATCAGGGCCACATGGTGTGATCGGTCCCAGCAAACAAAATTAAACACAATGTACTGGCAACCTCAACTGGCACTTAGTGGTTAATTCAGTTATTTATTGAGTATGACTATGCATCAGGTTCTGTATTCTAGGGAAATAGCAATAAAAAAATCTATACTAGAAATACATAGAACATATAGACAAAGGCTTAAAGGATGGAGGTGGGAAGTCTTTTCTGGAGGATGGCGTGAGCATGTGCCACAGACATTGCAACAAATTCGATAAGATACTGTGAGAGGGATCTGGTTTTGCAGACATTGGTATGGGCCAGCCATAGAATGGTTTGTCCCCTCAGCCCTGGACTTGGTGCTGCTTTGCTCTTGTATAGAGGTCAGAGTGTCAGAGTTCTTATCAACAGCAGGGAAAAGTAGATCAGTACTGACTTGGAAATGTCAGAGCTGACCAGATTATTAGATGAGGGCATTAAAACAATTCTGTTTTCCAAAAGAGGAAAGAGTATGTGAGATGGGGCAATGACAAAATCAAACATAACACACATGTCTGGGAGTGTTACAGAGTTTATAATTTCTGAGGAAGGAGAACATACTGGAAGGATTTGGTAGATGAGACACCAGAGAAAAATCAGGGGTATTTAAAATGGCAGTAGTAACTAGTCCAAATGAACCAACTTTAAAAACCCAACTGTGGCATATACAATTTCACAGGAGCTATGGGGCCATTCAGTCTAACCCAGGAGGACCCCTAGAGACAGAAGACTGGAATAAAAGTCATCTGAAGACAGTGGCCAGACGTTTTCAGAAGTTTGCTCAAAATCATAATAAGCTCATGGACCCAAAGTGGTTAGCAAATACTGAAGAAAACTACATCTAATTCATACCACAAATTCCTTCTAAACAGTACTTAAAATAAAACCAGCCATAGGAGAAAAAAGAGGTAATAGAAATAGAAGGAATACGAGGGAAAAATAAAGTTGTCAAACAAGGATTCTTTTATGGTTTCTCAAGACAGGGTTTCTCTATGTAACAGCTCTGGTTGTCCTGGAACTCACTCTGTAGACCAGGCTGGCCTCATATTTACAGAGATCCTCCTGCCTCTGCCTCCCCAGTACTGGGATTAAAGGTGTGCCCCACCATTACCCAGCAACAAACAAGGATTTTATACCCAGATAAAATAGCTTTCCAAAACAAAGATGAAGCAAAGATGATTAACAGAGAAAAGCTGAAGAGAATAGTTATGACACTTACAGAGCCACAAGAAATGTGCAAGAACTGAGCCAAACTGGAATCCAGTTTCAGAGAGGGAGGAGTGACGAACAAAGGGACCAAGACCATGCTGGGAAATCCCACAGAAACAGGTCATCTGAGCAAATGGGAACTCATGGACAACTGGGGAACCAACATAGGACCAAACCAGGCCCTCTCAACGTGGGTGTCAGCTAGGTGGACTGGGCACTTTATGGGGCCTCTGGCAGTGGAACCAGGATGTATCCCTAGTGCATGAATGGACTTCGGGAGCCCATTCCCTATGGAGGATACTCCCTTAGCCTAGAGACACAGGGGAGGGCCTAGGCCCTACCCCAAATGAATTGACAGATTTTAATGATCCCTCATGGAAGGCCTCACCCTGGGGAGTGGATCTGAGATGGGATGGGGGTCTGTGGGCGGCATGGGAGGATGGAAGGGAGAGGGAACTGGGATTGATATGTAAAATAAGATTGTTTAAAATTTATTAATAAAAAAAAGAAATGCAAGGAAATCCTTGGAGCAAAAGGGAACAGGTACAAAATGGGACTCTGTGTCTACCCAAAGAAATCAAGAGAGAAAATAAAACCACATTTGGAGTAGTCAGTAACAACTGAATGCAAACCACTGTTCTAGTTTGCTCTGTTGCTATGACAAAACACTGACCAAAAGTCTGGGGAGGGAACAGGTTGATCTGTTACAGTCCATCCTCAAAGAGAGGCTAAGGTAGGAAATGAAGCAGGGACCACAGAGGAACACTGATGATGATGACTGGCTGGTTTTTTTTTGTTGTTGTTGTTTGTTTGTTTGTTTGTTTGTTTTGGTTTTTCGAGACAGGGCATCCCTGTGGCTTTGGAGGTTGTCCTGGAACTCGCTCTTGAAGACCAGGCTGATCTCAAACACTTTGCCTTTCTTAAACAGCCCAAACCTCCTGCCTAAGATGGTACCACCCACAATTGTCTGGCACCTCCTACATCCATTAACAATAAGGGGGGGGGGGGAATGCCCAGTAGACATTGCTGTAGGCTAGCCTGAGGGAAGAATTCCTCAGTTGAGGTTTCCTCTTTCCAACTGTGTCAAGCTGACAACCAAGACCAGCCAGCTATCACAACCTGTGACATGTGAAAGCAAAATTTAATGGTGATACAGCACACAAGCCCGAGTTTCTTCGCAGAGTGCTTACACTGCATGTGTGGATTACAGTAGGTTAGAGGTATGTGTTCAAGTGATAGGAAATCAATATGTGGAAATGAAACATGCATTCTGCATTTGTTGAAGTAATATTCACAAAACCGACAAGCTAAGCCTCCCTTGGCATAAGTAGATGGAGAAAAGGCAGTGTGATTACAGAGTGGAGTAAAGTTCTGCCATACAGAATGAAGGAAAGCCTGTCCTGTATCAAATGTGAGTCAAATGAGAAAATAAAACTGAAGCCTCTCAGGGCTGGTGAGAGGGCTCAGTGAGTAAGGGCACTTGCTGCCAAACCTGATGGCCTGAGTCCCCTCTCCAGTGCCCACGTGGTAGGAGAGTACTGACTCCTACAGTTTGTCCTCTGACCTCCACACACAAGCATACTGTGGCACATACAGACCCACACAGACAAACAAGTGTATAGATAAGCTATAGTAAAAATATAAAAGGCAAGCATCTCACCATCCAGAAACTACTGTTTTGCCATTTTTCTGTGTATGTTCGTACTCGTGGGAAGGTGGAGGACTGATCAGAGACAAGGCATGGCTGTGAGGTAGAGTAGAATAACATACAGAAAGTATGTTACTGGGTGCTGTTTGGAGTGCTCCTGGAGATAACCCTTCCAGGGAGTGTCCAGGGCCTGCAAGCAGAGAGAGAAAGTGCAAGATTTCTCTGCCTACAGAGAATGGGAAAAGGGAGGGGCTTCAGTGGAGAGAATGGAGTGGAGAGCCAAAGGGCAGCATCCATGTGCAGTCTTTGGAGCCCCAGGATTTGTCTTATCTGTGGCAAGAAGAATCTGGGTAGTTTTGCAAATGATGCAAAGCAACCAGACCCTAAAATATGAAACATGTGCCTATAGATGTGCTTGTCTGAACAACGCAGAAAGCAATTGTACATATACCGATTTTTAGTTTGCCTCCAGCAATCCTAAACTAAAAGTTCTAGGCAGTGGCAGTGAAGTAAGCAACAATGTGGGGCTACCTTTAAGCAGTAATTTATAACATGAAAACGGAGCCAGCAAGATGGCTCAGTGGATAAAAGTGCTTCCTGCCAAACCTGGTGACCTGAGTTTAATCCCAGGGAGCCATGTGGTAGGAGAACTAACCCAGGTTGTCCTGTGACCCGCACCTGCACTTCACATCTGACTCTTTCCTGCCCTGCCTTCCCATTCTACTGATTTGGGAGAAACGCCTGACAAAACTCAGGGGGACACACCACCAGAGATTTTGGGGTGAAACATCTGGGTCACCTGTGTCAATATGGTGTCTGTTCTACCTAAAGAGGCCACCGCCCCCCCTTCCACTTTCCCTCCACAATCTTGTCATCCTTCTCCCTATTAAATAATAGTCTTTCACTAAATAAAAGTATTCGCAGGGTGATGCATAGCATTAACCGGAACGAGGCAGAGGCAGGAGGATCACTGTTGAGTTCCAGGCCAGCCGGGGCAGCATAACAACACCCTGCCACCACCATCCCAAAAGTAAGAGAGAGAAAGAGAACTAAAGAAAGAAGCTGGGGACTAGAGAGATGGCTTAGTGATTACGAGCACTTGTAGGGGACCCAGGTTCCTTTACCAACTCACAACTACCTGTAATTCCCATTCCAGGGTGTCTGACATCCTCTTCTGTCCTCCAAGGACACCAGGCACACATGCAGTACACATACATGCATGCAGACTAGGCAATCAGACATGCCCATAATTCCTATAAATTTAACGTGATGTTAATCATAAAATGCCCCCTTTTGTCCTCATCCACCTCTGCTCTGTCCCACTATCATGTGGCAATTGCAAAATGTGAAACAGGAAGACAACACTGCTTTCTGGGAATGACACAGGCAGAAGACAAGAAGGGCCTTGAAAATAACTATCCCAGCCAAACCGAAGTGCAAGAGTGGTCCTCCTCTGTCATCCTCTTGGGGTGGAGCAAGAGCAAGGCCATAGGCAGGAGACTGGGTGCCCGCTGTGCTAGCCTCTCCTGTGTTCTCCCACACAAGCAGTTTCTTAGAAACATGTGTATGCTTTATCTGAACTGTGCTGTTTACACAGATCAATTGATTTCTTTGCACTAAACTCTCAGAGACCATGCACAGGTTTGTTGATAACTGGGCAGGCTTCTCTACCTGGAGGAAACTGGCAACTGGGCACATCTCACTCCAGTACAGCTGTTCATGATCAGATGCCAGCTGTACCATTGGGGGACTCACCCAGAGCCCCCAGATCACAGTGCACACTGCATGGAACACACAGTCCTCCCAGACCTGCCAGAAGTGTGGTCCAGAGTCAATAGATCAGAACGTCAGAAATAGGGGTCAAGAGCCCTGGCGCAGAGCTGTGGGACACTGTCTCCTTGGGCCCTCTGGGGACACTCTTGGAGCATCCAGAGCACATTAGGAAGTGAACCATGAATCTATCCTTCCCCAGAGAAGACCACCCATCCTTTCATTTGAGACCAGACAGAATAAACAGGACATCAAGAAGATGCTGTGTCTGGTGGTAAAGGCCTGTATTCCTGGCTAGAGACTGGGACAGAAGGATTGTAAGTTTATGAAGTTCAAGACCAGCCTGAGCTACACAGTAAGTCCCTGACTCAAAATCAAGATGAAGGGTGGGGGTGGGGCAGAGATAGGGGAGTAGGTAGGGTATAAGGTAGCAAGTGTTTCTCCAATATCAAAGAAAGACTGACTGTCACTGACTGCCCGAGCAGCTCTGCCACCTGCTGACCCTGCCCGTGTTGTTATTGTTTTGTGCCTCTGTGTGTGTGTGTGTGTGTGTGTGTGTGTGTGTGTGTGTGTGTGTACATCATGTGCATGCCTGGTGCCAGAAGAGGGTGTCAGATCCCCTGGAACTGGAGCTACATATTGTTTGTGAGTTGCCACGCAGGTGCTAGGCATTGAACATGGGTCCCCTGCAAGAGCAGCTCAGTGCCCTTCGCCTCTGAGCCATCTCCCTGGCCCCATTTTTCTCTGTTTGCAGAGTCTGGGACTGATTTACATGCTTTTGATTCAGCTATTAAGAACAAAATGGGATCTAAAACTTGAGCTGAGGTGGGTGTCTCTTTAATGGCTTCTTTTAAAAGGGTAACCCTTTGTCAAAGGATTACACTGTGGGAAGAAATGTATCTAGACGGAGTATAGATTACGTTTTCTGTTCTCAGGGTATTTAGACAGATGCCTGAGACAGTTTCATCCAAAACCTGTCTGTCTCATAAAAAGTGGATTCAAAGATGATGTAAATGGATCAGGCTTAAGTGTTAGTCAATATGGTCTTAGCCCTGGTTCTGGAACCCCAATTTCCTCTGCTGCTGCCTCTCTCTGGTATCTTCAACCACCACCCAAAAGACTCTGTGTGACCCCAATTTCAGAAAGGTGTCTTCCATCAAACCTCATGCAAATAACAATTCATGTGTCAATCAAAGATTCTGGTCTATGTGAAGATCTTATTGGGGCTTTGAGTGGGACTATTATAGAAACAGGAGAAGGGAAAAGAGCCAGTCACCAGCAGAGAAGCCCAATTAACACCTGTTTAAGGCAGGCTCTCCTTCCCAGTAGGCAACTTGCTTTTCTAGGGACCTTATCAGAAATCCCATTTGCCAGGAAGACATACCCTCAATCTCTTGAGCAACTCTAGTTATCCCTGGCTCACATCATCTGATTTCAATTCCATCGATGGCTTCTCTGGAGCTACCTTATAATCTCACTTATCAAAAGACACAAAAGGAGAGAGACGTCCTTAATAATCTTCTAAAATGAAAGCTGAAAGCCACCAAAATGGCACATATGGCTAAAACCAGGACAAGTTCAACTCCCCACTGAGGAGCAGGTACCCACACTTTGCAATGTCTTCTTTCCGAGTGCCTCTCTTTCTCCTAACCCTCAAGCGGAAAGTCTAGATTAAAATGTCTTTAAATCCTAACTCTGCTTCTGACTGGTCCTGAAATTCTTGTCTGCATCAAAACCATGAATCCCAGTTTGGCTTGAGACAAGGGCCTTAAAACGTTAGGGAACTCCTGGGGCTAAGTGTGGGGCTGTGCCTCTATCCCACACTGCTGGCAGGCCCACGGTGCAGAAGTATGCACCCTTTCTTATAATCGTTATTGATTATCAGTGTGTGTGATGTGCACATGGATGAATGCAGGCCATGGCAGGGATGTGAAGGCCAGAACAGAGTCTTTACACACACACACACACACACACACACACACACACACACACACACACCATTCCATAATTCCTGAGGATTGGACTCAGGTCATCCAGGTTTCTCAGTACCATCTCTCCAGCTGCCACGCCTTACAATCTGTGAATACAGCTGACATTATTTCCTGTTATTACTAATGAGACATGGAAGTCAGAGAAGGCCCTGTCTGGGATGCAGCCTGAGTCCTGCCATCCACAGCAGCTGGAACCCCGTGGATTGGCAGCCTCAACAAACATTCCAGGGCCTGGAAAGGCCACTTGTTACTGGAGCTCACACTTCACCCAAATAGCATATTCTCCTTGTCCTAAATTAGTGGCTTAAGTCCATCCTGTCTTCATGTAGATTTGATGCTTTCTAAATTCACTTTTGTAATTTAAACGTCTTTCCATTTGGATACCAAGGGCACTTTAAACCCTACCCCATGGATCTCTTAAATTCAACCTTAATGTTTTCATAAATTCTTTGAAACTTGAATTCTACATTTTTTTTCTTTTTTTTGTATTGTGTGAGTCCAGGAGGGCAGAAAACTTGGGTATTTTAAAAAGGGCATCAAAAAACAAACAACAACAAAAATGTGTCTTTTATACCTATATATATGAGATGGCATTTCATAAGTAACCCTAGCTTTCCGGGAAAATTTTTCCTACCTGTCTCTGCTTCCCAGTGCTGGGATTAAAGGCAGGTGCCACCACACCTGGAATAAATATGGTTTTTTTCCTTTCCCCCAAAACTTGCTCCAGGCGGTCATGATGGCACATGCCTTTAATCCCAGCAGGGGGGGGAGGGGCAGGCGGATCTCTGTGAGTTCAAGGCCAGCCTGGTCTCCAGAGAGAGTTCCAGGACAGACTCCAAAGCAAGAGAGAGAAACCCTGTCTCAAAAAAACAAAACAAACAAAAATGTTAAGGAAGCAATTTGAGATTTAAAAAAAGGTCTTACTTCGTTCCTTTATTTCTGTAACAACTGATATCTAGCTGTCCTTCCTATAACGCGAAGTGAGACTCCCCTACTGTTTGGTAGATGCCGTACAGATACCATTGCCAAGAATGTGCTGTCTAAACGCCCATTCAGTTTTCAATGATGGAACTCCGCCCTTTACTTAGTTGTAAGCATGCGTGGAATGTTATGATAAGACATAATACTGGTGTTCAGACATGAAAATGGTGGGAGACAAAAATATACACGTGAAATAAACTGAGTACTTTAAAAAAAAAACTGCATTTCTTTTATGTGTTTGAAACAAGGCACCATTTAGCCCACGCTGAACTCAAACTCACTGTGTAGCCTAAGATGACTTTGATCCCCTGATCCTCCTGCCTCCACTCCCTAAATTCTGAGATTACAAGCATGTGCCACCATGCTGGGGCTCATGCAGTGTTAGGGATGAAACCTGGGGATTCGTGCGTGTTAAGCAAGTATTCTCCCAACTAAACTACATCCCCAGCCCTAAATATCATATTTTTATGACCATTTCATCACATCCTTGCCAGCACTCAGATCACTATCACTACGATCTCTGCCAATTGTTTGTTCTGTAGCCCTGGCTATGCTGGGACTCACTCTGTAGATAAGGCTGCCCTTGAACTCAGAGATCCTCCTGTCTCTGCCTCCCGAGTGCTGGGATTAAAGGCGTGCCCTACCACAGATCAGCCAATTTTGAATGAGGAAAATTTGAGGCCTGTTATTTGGAGCTGGTTTCCAAAACTGTTGAACTTGCCTGCCCTGAGCTCCTGCGTCTGCAACATGGTTCTCCAGCAAGCTCCAGACCCGGTCTGGCTAAGCGCGCTCTGGTCTCAGCGGCCGCAATCCCACGCCCCACCGCGAGGATGCGCTGCGACCTCAGGTCCCCCTAGCTCACCAAGCCATGACGGAAGGTAGGGACAGGAGCGGGGCGGGGCACCGAGCAAAGGTTGGCTTCTTAGCCCCGGACCTTCTCCGCAGCTCTCCGGCATCATGACGGTGGGCGCCAGGCTCCGAAGCAAAGCGGCGAACAGCTTCGCGCTCCGGGGGCGCCTGGGGCGATCGCGGGGCACGGGTGACGAGGAGACAGATGCCATCGTAGAGCACCTGGAGGGTGAGGACGAGGACCCGGCGAGCCAGGAGGGTGAGCACGAGGAGAGCGGGCGGCGCGCGGGGACCCCAAGCGCGCGCAGAGTGCACCTGGCTGCGCTGCCTGAGCGTTACGAGCCCCTGGAGGAGCCTGCGCCAGGTGACAAGCCTAAGAAGAGATATCGGCAAAAACTGAAGAAGTACGGCAAGGTAAGTTCCCACGGCCCGGCCGCCCTAATCCAGACAGAACCCGGAGTTGCTCTGGGTGGAGTTGTGCCCTAGTCGCCGCCTGGACAGTCAGTCGGAGGGTGGCGCTGAGCGAGTAGACTTAGGCGGGCAGGAGAGGTTGTCGTTGGTGGGAAGGGAATGTTGAAGCCATGGTGAGGTTAAGTGATTTGGGGACCGTGACCCAGCTGGGAAGTTGCAGCCAAGATACATCCATCTCCCATCCTGGCCACAGGAGAACGTTAGGTGATTTTGTCGTGATTCTGTTAACTCAGGCAGTACACACCTGTGGAATCTCCCTCTCTCTAACAATGGTCTCTGCACTTTGAACTTCAGATGTGTCCTGCCTTTTGCTTTTTTGGTGGGAGGAGGTGGGAGAGCTAGAGGAAGGATGGATGGGGAAAGGAATGAGTTTCGTTTCCACAATAAGTGGCTCTGGCCTGGACCCGGCTACGAGAGGGTGTTTGGGGGTGGGGGAATCACAAAACTCATTGATTGTGTTAGGGTCAAAGTCCTGGCCTGGCCTGGTTTTATTGTCCAGTCAGAAGTAGCCTTCAGTGGGTGACCTTTATCATAAGTGAGGCATTCAGTCCCTTGCTTACTTTATCATTCTCCTGAATTGACTGACATGGCTCACTCACGAGCAGGCAATGATAGAATACTTGAAGTGGGACTTTGTGGGTAAGGAAACCATCTGAACGTGAATTTGATGACACAGGTTGTCCATTGGAGGCTGGCATTTGGAGAGGTTTGTGGGTGGCCATTCTGTGCCTGGCATTTGTGTATACACTAGAGGTGCAAAACTGAATCCTCACAGGGCTGGGGAGAGCCCAAAGCCTACCAGGGAGACGTGGCAGAGCTAGGGCACCCACTCCTCCTGCGCAGCTGAGAACTAATTTAGTGACTACTCATGCTGGTAAGGCTAATATAATCAGGGGCTCTGGGTAGAAAGAAGAGCTGAGACTAGACAAGGAAACCCATGCCTGTAAGTCCAGGCAATCTGGAGGGCAGGACAGGATAATCGAAAGCACAAGGCCAGCCTTGGCTAGAGGACAAGATCCTAACACCGAGGTACCAAACCACACTGAAGAGGATGGCTATTCTTAAAAAAAAAAATATCCAAACATAAAGTGTGGTGTTAGTGAGGAGGATGTGGAGACATTTGGGGCCTTGTACACTGATGTTGGGGTATGTAAAATGTTGTAACTGCTGTGGAAAGCCACTTACTTGGAGGCACCCCAGCAAATTGAACACAGAACTGACTGCTCCGTGGTCTCAGGGCTCCACTCCAAGAGAGCTTACGAAAGAACTGAAGGTTGGGCTGGGTTGGGGGGTGTATGTAGCTTGGGTGATGAAGTGCACAGAAGAGCTGGTTGGATCCCCCGGGCTATGTAAACTAGGCGTGGTGGTAAATACCTGTAATCCCAGCACTTGGGAAGTAGAGGTCAGAAGATCAGAGATCAGGGTCTGGGTGGGGGGTGGTGCTCGTTTCCAACCTGACAATCCAAGTTCAATCTCCAGAACATGGCAAAGCTGACTCCACAGCTGTCACCTAGCCACGTACACACTGTAGCTAGCACTCATGCACAGAAGTACGTGCACACGAAATACATGTAATAAACATTTGGGGAAAAATAGTTCAGAGTATTTTGGTTACCCTAGAGAGTTCCTGGGCTTACATGAGATCCTAGCCCAAAAAAAAAAAAAAAAAAAAAAAAAGCTGCTCAAGCAAATTTTGTTTTGTTTTTTGAAACAGGGTTTTTCTGTGTAACCCTGTCTGTCCTGGAACTAGTTCTGTAGACCAGGCTGGCCAGGATTAAAGGTGTGCACCACATCACCCAGGGTAACTATTTTTTTATTTTGATTTTCCATGTATATGGGTATTTTGTGCCTTCATAAATGTTTGTAAAAACAATTTTACACACATGATCACAGACGTCTCATTTACCACTGGACAAAAAGTGAAAAAATCCAAATATTTGTGAGTAGATGAACCAAATGTGGGCTAGACACACTATGAACTATTATTTAATAGCCTTAAGAAGGACTGATATTAGCTGCCACATGGCTTAACAAGATGTTAAATGAAGAAAGCCATGATTCCCTTTATATGAAATGTACAGATAGGCAAGTCCTGACAGAACGTGATGGTGATTTTAGGGGCTGGACAGAGGCATAGAGATGCCAACTTTGTGTGGTTTCCTTCTGGGATGAAGTGGACAGAGCTGGTAGTTATGCATTATAAAGGCATTCAATGCCTCTAACTTCTTTTGTTGTTGTTGTTGTTGTTTGTTTTTTATTTTTTTTTGACACAGGATTTCTCTGTGGCTTTGGAAGCTGTCCTGGAACTAGCTCTTGTAGACCAGGCTGACTTCGAACTCACAGAGATCCGCCTGCTTCTGCCTTCCAGAGTGCTGGGACTAAAGGCTTACCACCACCACCACCAAATGCCTCTGACTTCTTCTCTTTATAAAATCATTTATTTGTATGTGTGGGTTGGGTTTTTTGTTTTGTTGTCCACAGGTATGTCTGTGCCCCATGCCCACAGAGGTGAGAAGAGGGCATCAGTTCCCCAGGAACTGGAGTTGCAGATGGTTGTGACCCACCATGTGGGTGTTGGAAACTAAAACTGAACCCAGGTCCTCTAGAAGAGCAGCCAGTACTCTTAACTGTTGAGTCACCTATATCAACGTATTGCTTTCAACTGTTTGGTTTTTTTTATGTTACATAAGTTTGTTATTTTGTGGGGGGGGGGTTGGATTTTGACACGATAAGGTTGGTTTTGTTTTTTGTTTTTTGTTTTTTTGTTTTTTTGTTTTTTTTTTTTTGACCAAAATGGAGAGAAGAGAGATGTGGGAAAGTTCTGGAATGTTATATACTAGCTCAGTAGCTCCAAGATGTCCAGATGAGATTACAGCCCCAAGTGAGGGGTCCCAAGAGCCATCCTGCCAGGTGAGAATGTACCAGGCTCCAACAAAAAGGAATAAGACTAAGGAGCCTGTCTTTTCTGCCGAGGCTCCTGCAGAAGGTGGGGGTGGAATCTGTACTCTCCACGGTTGCCAGGAGAGGCTTTCTTTTAGAAATGAATGGTTCCAATTATTGGTTTTTATGGAATGTGTTTTCTTTTAGTTCCCATTCCTGTTAACATCTTAGCCCCTTCACCTAAGCCCCTTCCTGCTTCTATTTAAGGAAAATTGTTGGCCTTTGTGCAACATGAAAGAGCAGGTTCACTCCCCCGCGGGCCCGCCCCCTTCCACCGGCATGGTCCTACCCAGGGGCCAACCCTCACACTGTGCTAGTCCAGCCTATGTTCCAGTTGATTCTAAAGAAATAATTGCATTCCTATGGTGCACATATTACTGTTAAAATGTTACCTGCTGGGCCCTGGGGAAAGAAAGGAACCTGAGTTGGTGGCTTTCCGTCAGAAAGCTGGATACCAGCGATCTTTATGTTCCATGCCTGAGTCCCCTCGGCAACCCTGGGAAGCTGGTGTTAGAGACAATGAAGCTGCAGAGTCAGACAGCTAAAGAGCTGGGAGGGAGCAGGGCCTGGCCCCTTCCACTGTAGATCTGTGGGTTAAAAGGATGGAACATGCCTCAGACTTAGCTGAGGATAATAGGCCGTCCTTGCAGGCATCCTTGAGACATGGAGAGAAGTACAGTAAGAAAAAGAATTAAGTTATGGTAATTGGGAAACTAGGAGAGGGTTGGAGGGTGAAACACAAAGCGTAGGGTAAGTCAGATATGGTGCTGCAGGCTTGTAATCACAGCCCTCTGGAAACTGAGGTGGGAATCAGGAGTTCAGGGCCAACCCGGGCTACATGGTGCATGGCTAAAAGGTGAGAATTGGTGATGGAGCTCACTGGTAGAACATGTTTAGCACGTACCAAGACCTAGGTTTGAGCACACTAAAAAAAGGGGGGTGGAGAGAAGAAATGTTCTCGGTAGGGGTCAAGAACCAGTCTACCAGATGTGAGAGCTCCATTGGCCGTATGACCTTGGGCTAGGTTTCCTCTCACCTCCAGTTTCTTTCTCTACCATCTGGTAGTAGTGAGGGCTGGGCTAGGGTGGTGGGGAGTAATCAAGTAGGCACGAGAGCCCAGTAAAAAGTTTGGCAGGTGGCACATACTTAAGGTCCCAGTTCTGGGGAGGTGAAAACCGTGTAGACAATCCGTGAACTCAGGGTTCTATAGCAATTTAGGAAGACACTGAGTATTGACCCCCGACAGACACACACCCTACTGACACACATACCAGGTCATCTCGAGTCAATAAATTAGTCCATGTGGAAGTTCTAGATGCCAGGGCTCCTGGCTGAGGTTCTGGAGCTGTACGTTGCTGCCCTTTGAGGAGTGGGTTCTATTCATTCAGATTCTGGAGCTGACCATCCACCTCAGGTTGGCAACCAGGCCTGAGGGCAGCTCTACAGAGGACTTAACTTTTTGATCAGACAGTGACGTCTGTGGGGGGATGATTTTCTCTCCCAAGTCAGAGGGACATGAAGTTCCCCAGCTGCACTGGGGATTGTCCCAGGCAATCCTCCTGAGCTAAAGTTGTCAGGGCTGCTCCTGTTTGGCTCTCTGCAGCTTCCAGAGACCATCTTCTTCCCTTTCAAAGCCAGTAGTGTACACTACCCCCTATCTCTTCTCCTTCTTCCCGCTCTCCCATCGTCTTCTGATTGACCTCCCCCCACCCCCTGTTTCTGTACATTAAGATGCCCACATGGATAGAGCCACTCTTTGCCTGGTATTCAGGAGGCCCAGGGACTGATACATACTGGCAAAGGCCCTCTTGCCATTTCCACTAATCAGAGCCATGAGTTCTAAGAAGTAAGGTGGGAATCTGGGGGCTAGCCTGGCACTCTCTCACACTTTCCCATCCTCAGCTTCCCTACAAGAGATTTGTTTTATCTCAAGTCAAGTTTTATTCCTTGAATAGCACCAGTGTGGTGCTTTGATCTTTCCCTGTGCTTCTCAAAGCTGTATTTTGACAGAGTTCCATGTTAGTTAATGAGCTGTCTCAGCAGACTTTATCCCCAAATTGTAAAGATGAAGTGATAAATAGTTTTTTTTATGAAATTAAAAAAGTAACCAGCTATGGGGAAGAGAATGTACAAACTCACTACCATCAGGTTTCAGGTAAGCAGTGTGATTCTGGTGTCATTGCTCATAAGGAACCAGTGTTGATGGTCGCAATTGCTCCAGAGGTACATGATGTTTGTTTCAAACATGGAAAATTCTCCCAATGATTCTTTTCAACACACACACACACACTGACATGTTTCCTTGAGAAATAAATAAGGTTGTGTCTTGAAGACATATGTACCAGTTTCTTCCAAAACTTGTCATGACCTAGTAAGGGACTGAGAGAAAGATCTCAGCTTTCTCTACAGGCTGAGGGTACCTGACTGGCTACAAACTAGTGCGGGGACCCTGACATTTATACCATGGACAACTCAAGGCATGGCTTATAGGCAACTCCATACCCTCCTTAGAAATTTTCCTAGCAAGGCATTGTGGCTCACACCTATAATCCCAGCACCAAGAGAGAGCTGAGGCAGGAGGATCAACATGAGTTGAAGGCCAGCCTGGGTTACATAGGATCATGGGATGTCCCATGCCAGCTCAACTACTGAGGGAGATCCTTACTCATGAGAGAGAGAGAGAGAGAGAGAGAGAGAGAGAGAGAGAGAGAGAGAGAGAGAGAGAATAAAACTTTTCTGAGAAGTAAGAAGTATCTTAGGCTGGTATATTGCTACCACAAACCTAAGTTACTTTGTAACAGACAGAAGTCCTTATTCTTTTGAAAACTGACACCTTGGGGCAAACCCTGCAGGCAGCACATGCTGGGCACAGGCCCCAGTGCTCCTGGTGAACAGACTCCTCAATCCTCTTTACTACACAAAAAGGCTAATACATTCACATTATACAGACAAAGAAATGGAGGCCTAGGAAATTTAAGGAAAGGTTGGGATTGGAACTCATTCCTGGCTGTAAGCACAAGGTCATTTATACACTACCTTTATCAGAGATAGGTGTCACATGGGATAAAGGTGCCTGGTTCTACAGTGAAATTTCTTTGGGGAGGGTTCAGCTCTTCCCCTTACCAGCTGTATGGTCTCAAAGACATTTAACTTCCCTGTTATTTCTTCTTGCTGATCCTGTAATCAAAGACCATCGAGGACATACCAGTCACCCAAGTTAGGCCAACTTGTTTCGTTCAACGAGAAGACAATACCAGAGGAATTGTGGAGTATCAGAAGATGGACACCCCAAGCAGGGAGCTGAATGCATGAATCTGAGCTGGAGTTGCCAGCATCTAAGTCCAAGGGGTTTTAGGCAGAGCATGGAAGAAAACCTAGCATTGAGGAATGAAGACCTCAAAGGTTCAAACTCTACAAGAAGACAGAATCAATAGAGAGTGCTTAGGAGGATTGCCCTGTGGAGTAGGGATCAGGTGATCACAGCTGAGGGAGGGAAAAGACGGAACCCTCCATGGACCACACAACATGGAGGTGGTAGGCATCCTTGAACAGAGGCCCTGAATGGTTGTGGGCAGCAGTCAGTGACAGGGAAGAAGTGTGGAATGGAGTCAGTGTCTGGAGGCTTTCTCATTTGGAGAGCAGAGACACGGGGCAGGAGATGGCCAAAGTGACCCTTGGCATAGTATAAGCTAGGGATGGACAGGAAGACAAGGATGCCACTGGAGAAGAGAAACCAAGGAATGATGAGAAAGAACCAAGAAGAGTGTGGGGAAGACATGAGAAAAAGAGCCAGTTCCCCCATTGTTATCCTGGCAGGGTGGGAGAAGCCAGGAGCCAGAGCACTGAGCTTGGGGACAGTAGAGGATGGTACATAGGTTGCCTAAGGATTTGTGTTTCAAGCAATGAAGACATGGGCTCTGCTAGTGCATAGAGATGGCTGGGGTAGGGAGAGGGAAGGGTTAGGCTGTATCTGAAAGAGAGGTCAACCCACTTGGGCGGGTGGGGTGGCTTCTTCTGGTAGCACCGGGTGTCATGGTGAGCCTTGTAACTGGGGTGTGGGATCTATCGTCAGTGGAACCAGGCTATGTATTTTGTAGTCAGTCATAGGGTTGAAAGCCAAAGGGTGTGTGAGAAAGTTCTGGTCAGTTACGTGGATGTCCAAGTCACCAAGAACGACAAAAGAATCTGGGGGTGGGAAGGGGAATACCAGGGGCACAATGCAGTAGCTCTTAGCCATTAGTGGTCTCTCAAAGTTTTGATGGACCTGGCGGCATTCGATGTTCCCTGTCCCAGCACCCACCCTCACCGAGGAGGAAGGCAGCATCCAAGGAGCATTGCTTCATCCTTACCCTCAAAAAACAAAACAAAACAGTTCTGGAAACATAAATGGCTCTTGGAGAGTGGCAAAAACTTCTCGGGTTGCAAACATGTGAGTCAGACCAGAGTAAGCCTAGGCGCATAGGAAGGACCCACTGGGCTGTCTAACAAGATGCCTGAACACATCACCGCCTGTGATGGTGCTGAATATTTCAACTGGGACAGTGGGGTGAGCCTCAGTTTAAAACAGCAAAGGGATTTTAGTTCGAGAGCTAGCAGCCTCCATGCTGTTTCTAAAAAAGGCTTTCGAGTTATCTGGAAATGTGCTGTGTTTTCACGCACTTTACAAGGAGGCCTGTTGTGAGTAGGAGTGGGGACCCAGGGCACCATACAAATGTGAAGACACCGATCCTCCAAAGTGTGCCCCAGATCCATGACGGCGAACGATTCTGTGTGTGTGCATGTGACGGTCACTTGTGAAAGAATTAACAGGATGCCTCACCTAACTTTGCTTTTCTCTTTCTAAAATAGAATTTCGGGAAGGTCATCAGCAAAGGATGCCGGTACATTGTCATTGGCCTGCAAGGATTTGCTGCAGCCTACTCTGCCCCATTTGGAGTGGCCACCAGCGTCGTGTCCTTCGTGCGCTAATAGGAGCTGCAGGGGCAGGCATCACCAGAATCCTTCTGCCCCCCGGACAGTTTGAGTCCACCAGCACTTCAGACTCGAACTCAGGAACTCTAAAGAGGAACCCTGCTTCATGCTCCGTTGTTGAACTGGTTGGGCCATCCCCGCTTATCCGCTGAGCCACTTGTTTATCTTGGACATGGGTGGATCTTGGGGTCAGTCCCATGGAGAATTGAGCCAAAGTCAAGTTGGGGTGAGGGTTAGCTTGCTTCCTGTACTGGCTAGAGCCTTCCTGGGGTACACAGGAAGGCAGACTCATGGCAGATCTGGGGTCTGAGCCATGCAGGTAGTGGGTGAATTTTGAGGGAGGAGGGTACAGATCTCTAATGGGATAGTTAGTTGCAAGGTTCTGGAAAGGCACTGGCCTTGGCCTTCCTTGATCCTCTCATTAAGGACAGTGAGGGAGCTGTTGCTGACATCTTTCTCTCCATCTCTTTGCTTTACTGAGCTGTCATCGGGAGTTTAATTACAGGGTTGGGGAAGAAAGAAGGAAGGAAACAGTCTTTGAAGACCACGATGCTTTGAAACCCATGTTCACAGCTGTGCGGGGACTGTTGAAAGTAGATCAGAGCATGTCATTTTCATGAGTATTTTATAACTACACAGCTGGCAAAGAGGGAGGGAGGGAGGGCGAGTTCAGAAGCAAGCTTGGAGGCTGCAACAAACAGGTGCTTTCAGAGTCTGAACCTGGTCCAAAGATTGTGTTTGGAGCTGGCAGGAGTCCAGGGGGAGGGGGCAGGGGCAAGGGAGAGAGGGAAAGAGAGAAAAGGAAAGGGAGAGAGGAGAGGGAGAGAGAGGAGACAGAGAATTGACAAATATATTTAGAGGAGCAATAGAAGTTGGGAGCCAGGAATGCAAGCTTGCAATGGGGGCTGGGCTAGTTGTATGTAGGACCAGAGGAAGCTGGGGGACCAGAGGCATTGTGGTGGTTGAGTTAACACTTCTTAGGCTAGCATCTCACTTGGAATCAAAGATTAATCTAGGCATGAATCCCAGGCTTGAGACTCACTAAGGATGGCTCATAGACTACCTTGAGTGTTGGGAGAATGAGAGAAGAAACCCTTTTAAGTCTACAATGTCTGGGAAACTGTACTGGTTGTTTCACAACTGTCTTCAAAGTTGTTCACAGAGGTTCCTCTCCCCATGACCCTTGGCCAACCCCACAGCAGGTCAAGATTCAACCTTGATTCTAGAGCATTCAAGATCCAGAACAGTCAGCATCACCTTGTTGGCCTGGGAGACTTCCTGGGGCAAACAAAGAAAGCCAAGATGCTCACCTCTCACCCGTTGGGGCCAACCATCAGGCACTGGTGGGTGGGTGGGAAGATGGACAGAAAAGGAGCAGGTAGAGGAGACCATAGCAGTTGCCCACTCAGATTCAAACTCCTTTCTGGAGGCTCCTGTTTTAAGTGGCCTGGTCCCTCGAGCTGGGAAATAAGTGGTCTTGCTTGATCCCTAGTATCTAAAAGCTGGTTAATACAGGTTCACACATGTGACAGGATGATGCTTGCCTGGTAGTCCTAGGATGGAAAATGGGAAGGTAAATAGGAGAAAAAGTCACATGCAGTTGGCTGGAAAGAATCAGGAATGTGAAGCTTGCGAGATGTCTCCCCTGCCACCTCCTGATGCCACAGAACCTCCAGGGAGCCCACAACATCCTGCCAGGAAGGGAGTGTGACCCAGGGAAGGAATGAGCAGTCAAGGGTGCTTCATATCCCAGGAGTCTCTTCCTCCTCCCCAAATTGGAAGATCAGTAAAGCCAAGCACATCTGGCCCTGTGCCTCTTCCAGTCTGGCTAAGAATTAACTCGGAAATGACCAAAGTCAAAAGCTTGCAGGGGCGGTCCTGGGCCACCCTCCCTGGAAGGTCGATTTCAGCCCCAGGATCAGGCTGTGTGATCACATCCCCTTGTGGAGCTTTGGGTTCATGTTGCAGACCGTTCCTTGTTGCTTTCCTCTGTGTTCTCTTGTGTATTCGACCTCAAGGTCCGCACCCTGCTGCAACTGAATTTAAGAGCTTAGCTTTCCCATTACTGACTTCAAACTTCTTTTCTTTTCTATATCCCACTCTTGCCTTGAGGTGTAAATAAAAAGTCCCAGCTTGTCTGGTTTTCGTATGTGTCCGAGGCTGTCCCTTCCCATGCTCTGTCTCCCCGGGAAGGTGGCTGGGGATCCAGCAGGACCTGGGAGTGTGGGATAGTGGGTTAAGGTCCCTGGGCATTCTCTGGAATCCCTCAGGACAGGTTCTAGGGAGGGGAAGCCACAGCCCCACCATCTGTTAGAAATGAGAATTTTCCAGAACCTTTGACCTCACTGTGGAGCCAGGAGGCTGCATTCTGCACCAGCAAGAAGCCTCTGATCTCCGCCTTGGTTGGGAAATGCCTCTGCCTAATGGGGCTCCAGGGAGGGAGGTTGGGCCAGCATAGCAGGCCCTGAGTGTCAGTCCATGCAGGCATGTTGGCACACAGGCCTGCTCACTGAATTCTCACAGAAGCAATGGTAGAGGTTAAGCAAATAATAGGCAAGTGGTCCTGGGTAGCCATCAGATTATCTGATGAGGCAGGTTCATGGTAATAAGTCCCTACCTGTTGGGAATGTCATAGACTTATGGCAGAGTTCTTTGTTACCATGGGAACCTGTTTCATCTCCAGTGGGGTGTGTGTAGGTTATGACTCTCACCTCATGCAGAAGACTCAATGAGCTACCATTGGAGTTGGACATGGCAGCTTACATTATCCCAGCACTGAAGAGGTGAGGTGATGGAGTGAGTCTTCTGCCACATTGGAATACCATCCCCCACCACCCCACACCCCACACCCCACCCCACCCCCACACCAAGCTGTTTCTCTGCCAGCACCTGTGTCTGGTCAGAGAAGTACCAAATGGCATCTGTGACCAAGAACTAGTATTTGAACTCAGACCTTGTTGGCTTTCAGAGATCACTGTGGCCACCCAACTAGACCAGTGGCTCTTAATCTTCCTAATGCTGTGACCCTTTAGTATAATTCTTCATGTCATGGTGACCCTCCACAACTGTAAAATTTTTGCTGCTTCATAACTAATTTTGCTACTGTTATGAATCATAATGTAAACATCTGTTTTCTGATGGTCTTAGGTGACCCCTGTGACAGTGTCATTTGACTCCCCCAGAGGAGTCGCCACCCATAGGTTGAGAACTTCAGCATTAGGCAGTCCAAGTTCAGAGTCTGTATTCCGATTATCATTCTTGGTTCTGCTTCTGTAGAACAGCAGAGAAATAAAGAGGGCTCACGGTGTATGGAGCTGTCAGAGCTTCCTGGTAAAAATTCATGATAAAATACATACAGGTCAGATCCAAGGCATGGGGCATAGGCAGGATACCGGATACCCCCGCAAAGGCTATATTTCAGGGGCTCTATGCTTTGCCCAAAAGCCAAATGAGGTTTTTTTTTTTTTTTTTTTTTTTTTTTTTTTTTTAAGTTTCTAGCTCCCTTAATCATCTTTAGAAAAATATAGATAAGTACTGGGTTTTGTTTTTAAATTTGGAGGCAAAGTTGCTTTTGAGCCAAATCACTCCACTGCACATCACAGCCAAAGGGAAAGCAGATCTGAAGATCTCCCAGGGCCCAGTGCCAAAACCTGGCAGGAACTCCAGCTGTGCAGGGCTCAGGGGGTAGGGCAAGAGAACAAAGGCCTGTTGGCAGGGCCTGTGCCAAACCTGGGCCCCTTGTGGGTCTTAGAGCTCTAATCTTCAAGTCAAGCAAGCCCCCGAGGGAGCTGAGTCTGCACCTTGAGGACTGACTCTGCTTTTTAAAACAGTTTTTCTCAGGTGATTTTCTCTTCTGTCCCTGGTGATGGGGCTTGAAATAGATGCATCCAGTTCAAGGCAGACAGAAGTCTAAGCCAGGACTGGGGTATTGACCAGTGGAATGCTTGCCTGCCTGGTGTGTGCAGGCCTTGGGTTCTGTCCCCACTACTGCAATAAGTATTAAGTAAATAGACAGGTAAGTAAGGTTATTAATTGAATAAACATCAGAGCTGAAGGACTGGGCAGAAACTGAGTTGAAGGGCCACACTTCCTTTACCGGCTCTTCAGAGCCTAGGTAAATAGTTTCCACCTGGGACTTAGTCACTTCACTCCTAATTGAGATAAACAACTTATTTTTGGTTTTGGCTTGCTCCAAGAGAAGTTCAGAGTTGTCGCAAAGGCAAAATGTGGGAAGAAAGTGAGGAGGCAACGGGTGGGAGGGAAATGGTAGAGGGCAAGAGTGACAGAAATCAGGAAGCATTATGAGTCAGGCTTGATGGAGCACAGCTTTCACCCCAGCACTTGGGAGGCAGAGGCAAGAAGATCTCTGCAAGTTTGAGGCCAGCCCAGTCTACAGAGAGAGAAGCGGAGCCACATAGACTCTATCTGAAAAAGAAGAAACCACTACATTCAAATGTGAAATTGTCAAATTTAATTTTAAAAAATGAAAAAGTGTTGAGATTGCCTCAGTATTTATTTAAGCAGGAAATTCTCCATTAAAGAAACTTTTACAAATTTACCTTTTTTAACTGCTTAGAGTGAGGAGAAAGTAGCATACAAATTAGTTAGGAACTTTCTCCATAACTTTCATTCTTTTAAATAAAACCAAGCTTGAATATGGCTTCCAGTATTTTAACAGGGTCTGCGAGCCATTCATGGAGCCCATGAGCTCTACCTGCCATCTGTGTTGGTCAGAGATCTGGGCACAGGGATCAGAGGAGACGGCTAAGCTTCCTGCTTAACCTAAAGTTCAGAATTAAGGTGCAGAGATCATGTGGGTGTTCATCCTGGTCCTCAGTTTCCACTCTCAAATGATGACAAGTGGGATTGATAGATGAAAACAAGGGAAACTCAGAGACAGATGGTACGGAAGGCAGCTCCAATGCTGTATCCAGGTGTCTTGCTCACTTTTTGTTTGTTGTTGCTGTAACAAAATATCCAAGAAAACAAGTTACAGCGTAAAGATTGGTGTTGACTCCTGGCTTCAGATTTCTCAGTCCATGGCTCTGTGAGCTTTAGGATTGTGGCAAGATAGGAACGTGGAAGACTGTGGCAGAGAAAAGCCACTTAGTAGCCAAAAAACTGAGAAAAGACACAGGGCAGGGTCAAGTTATGCCCTCCCAGGACCCTACTCTCCAAAACTTCCAGTAATAACATCAAACTGTATCCATTGTAGTTAAATCTACCAATGAAGTCAGGCCTGGTGATCCATCCTTCCCCAGAGCCCCACCTCTGAACATTCCTGCACTGGGAGTGGTCCCTTCTGGGATGACAAACACCTGCCAAGGCTGCCAGGACCCAGGCACAGCTGCCTCTCATCTCCATTTCTTCTGAGGTTTCTCCAGAGACCCGGTGGGAGAGAGGTTTCTTTGTAGTGTCCATTCCCTTTTCTAAGAGAGGGTCCCACATTCAGGCTGGTCTGAAACTCACTGTGGTGATGCCCTTGCTTCCTGGAGCTGAGATTGCAGATGCAAGTCAGCACAACCCAGTTAGAGAGGAGCTCTAGAGACAGTCCCACTCCCACAAATCCCCAGTTGCTTTACTGTTATTCAAGCAGTTAGGATGTCTCCAGGAGAGAGCTGATTTGCTAACCAGTCTGTCACACTCTGCTCTCTGAGAGCCTGCATGTGTCTATCTGTTGATTCTCACCACAGTCAAGGCATAGAGATAGGAATCTAGGGAAGAGACCTGTGACCCCAAGTTGGTCGAGTTCAATTGATTTCACAGATGCTCTGACTGACTGGTCATTTTGCTCCCTTTGTTCATCCCAGGGGCCACATACCCAAGCCCCCAGGACTGCAGGAAGCTACCTGTATAACCGCATGGTGCTGGCATCAGATAGCTTGGCTTCCAATCTTCTAGGCCAGTGACCTTATACCTACACGCTTCAACTTCCTCGACTTTCAGGGTTTGCTTTGTCTCCTTTGCAAAGAAGAGTTTAAACAGTATTTATTTACACCTCTTATTGGAAAAGACATATATGAAGGGTATTAAGAACCTTGTACTGGCACTGAAGGGAGTACTGAGTAGTAGGAGAATTGCCTGCTCAAGACCCTGGGTTCCCTTCCACACTACTGAAAACCAAACCAAACCAACAACTCTGGGAGCTGGTGAGAAGGTTCAGTGGGTACGAGTCTGCTGTATAAGTGTGAGGATCTGAATTCAGATCCAGAACCTGTGTAAAAAGCTGGGCATTGCTGCACAGGAGCCTGTAACCCAGCACTGTGGAGGGCTGGGGCAAGAGGATTGTTGTAGCATGATGGCTACCAGCCTGGCTCCAACCTGGGTGAAAGAACTTCTCTCACGTAAATAAGATGGAGCATGAGAGAACAAAGACATGAGCTATCCATCCTCCTCTAATGTCCACACCTGTCCCCGCCTGTCCCCACCTATGCACCTATGCACATAACACACACACACACACACACACACACACACACACACACACACACACACACACACGAACAACGCAGCATATAGGATACAGCATATACTTACTGTAGTGGGCTTCCCTTCAACAGCCCCTCCAAGCCAAGTTCCGTCTCCAATTGCCCCTCCTGTGGGAGGGAAGAAATGGGGCTGCCAGCTCAGGTGAGGCAGAGCTGGGGGAAGAAAGAAGGGAGCAGGCAAACTGTCTGCTTGGTGCAGGTTCATGATCTGGATGACAGATCCGGCTGAGTCTCTGCTTGAGAACATGCAGGCATGCATGTGTGTGTGTGTGTGTGTGTGTGTGTGTGTGTGTGTGCATGCATGCATGCGTTCATGTGTGTGTACGTAGTGTGGGTGTGGTGGGGGTTGTCAGAGAAGCAGGGGCAAGGGTCAGAGCAGTAGGAAACAGGTTTAAATCCCCTCCAAGACAGTTTGCTTGAGGCTATTGTTCTCAGCCAGGCACCCAGATGACCAAGGACTTTGACCTAAATCTCTTCCCATTTGTCCCTAACCTTATTTCTGGACATCCAAATGTGGCTTATCCACAACAAAAGAAGAGGCTTTACTAAAGAGAGCCTGAGGATGATTTCTTAGGTCCTTGGGGCTCAAGAAGGATGCAGGGCTCCCTGCTCATAACAAGCAGGAAGGCAATCTCTAGACTCAGTAATAGAATAGAATTTT